CGAGAGAGCGGGGCCTCCCTCACTTACGTTTCACTGAAACACTCAAATATAACTCTCCCAACTTCCACTTTAGAAATTATAATTGTTGTAAACTACAGCGGTTCAATGATTTCTAGGAATAGACTCTAACTTAGTTTATTCAGCTAGCTAACTTGGTACAGTATTCTTCTGTGAAAACTGTCCAGGGCACCAAATCCTATGACGCCATAGCCAACTAGCATGCCAGCCTCCAATAACACGGTTTAGCACCAATACTCGGTTACAACAAACCACCAGTATGTTAACACGCCAAGCAGATCATTCGTGTCCGTGTCTAACGTTGTGTAAAGTTTTGGGTTAGTTTTGACAGTTTGAGTGAGTACATCATCAACTTATTCAGCCAGTTAGTTAGCTAGAATAGTTAGCATACTAGCTAGCCATTGCTTTCTGCCAACGAACCAACCCCTCCTCCCACGGCACGAACACACAGAGAGAGCCAAGCTAACGTTAACTAGTCACCCATGTCCCGAATTCCCTTGAACGACTCTGGTTACCAGTATGTAAAAACAAAACACAAATAAATGTAGGTTATAACTTACCCTTAGTAGCTACTGTTAGCCAGTTAAGTGCAAAGCTAGCCACTGAATCGATTCAGCCAGTTCGCGTCTGTCCCAACGGAGAGAAAGCGTCTCCAAATATTAAAACTAGGTCGTTCCAGCTATTGTTTAGTTAGCTATCCAGGTAGCAACAAGCTAGCTACATTTCGAGTAATGTAGCTACTAACTACCTAACGTTGACGCTTCAGATAATGAGGTTAGAAAAACAGCTGAATGGTAGGTAGCTAGCTGGCATAATTACAGGTACTCTTAAGCGTGAAATAACATTGGAAACAACTATCCACAGTTGCTAATAGTTACCAGTAGCTACCCGCTAGCTAGTCCAGGTAGTGGGTTAGCTAGCCTCGTGCTTCACCGGGCTCAACCGAATACAATACTTACCTACAATAATTACCTACAATAATCTACAATAACTACCTAGATAAACTACCTACAATACCTAACTACAATACCTACCTACAATCTAAATACATGGTTTAAGCTTTACTCGACACCATATAAGCCAAGCTTACCTCCCGCCAGAGAGAGACACAACCTCACCCAACGCCTGCCTGTTAGCTTTTTTTATACAGGTAACGAGCTGAGATTAGGAGCACACTCTTAAAGGGAGTGCTCCTAATCTCAGTTTGTTACCTGTATAAAAGAAACCTGTCCACAGAAGCAATCAATCAATCAGATTCCAAACTCTCCACCATGGCCAAGACCAAAGAGCTCTCCAAAGATGTCAGGGACAAGATTGTAGACTTACACTGGAATGGGCTACAAGACCATCGCCAAGCAGCTTGGTGAGAAGGTGACAACAGTTGGTGCGATTATTCGCAAATGGAAGAAACACAAAAGAACTGTCAATCTCCCTCGGCCTGGGGCTCCATGCAAGATCTCACCTCGTGGAGTTGCAATGTTCATGAGAACGGTGAGGAATCAGCCCAGAACTACACGGGAGGATCTTGTCAATGATCTCAAGGCAGCTGGGACCATAGTCACCAAGAAAACAATTGGTAACACACTACGCCGTGAAGGACTTAAATCCTGCAGCGCCCGCAAGGTCCCCCTGCTCAAGCAAGCACATATACAGGCCCATCTGAAGTTTGCCAATGAACATCTGAATGATTCAGAGGAGAACTGGGTGAAAGTGTTGTGGTCAGATGAGACCAAAATCGAGCTCTTTGGCATCAACTCAACTCGCCGTGTTTGGAGGAGGAGGAATGCTGCCTATGACCCCAAGAACACCATCCCCACCGTCAAACATGGAGGTGGAAACATTATGCTTTGGGGGTGTTTTTCTGCTAAGGGGACAGGACAACTTCACCGCATCAAAGGGACGATGGACGGGGCCATGTACCGTCAAATCTTGGGTGAGAACCTCCTTCCCTCAGCCAGGGCATTGAAAATGGGTCGTGGATGGGTATTCCAGCATGACAATGACCCAAAACACACGGCCAAGGCAACAAAGGAGTGGCTCGAAGAAGCACATTCAGGTCCTGGAGTGGCCTAGCCAGTCTCCAGACCTTAATCCCATTTAAAATCTGTGGAGGGAGCTGAAAGTTCGAGTTGCCAAACGTCAGCCTCAAAACCTTAATGACTTGGAGAAGATCTGCAAAGAGGAGTGGAACAAAATCCCTCTTGAGATGTGTGCAAACCTGGTGGCCAACTACAAGAAACGTCTGACCTCTGTGATTGCCAACAAGGGTTTTGCCACCAAGTACTAAGTCATATTTTGCAGAGGGGTCAAATACTTATTTCCCTCATTAAAATGCAAATCAATTGATAACATTTTTGACATGCGTTTTTTTCTGGATTTGTTTGTTGTTATTCTGTCTCTCACTGTTCAAATAAACCTACCATTAAAATTATAGACTAATCATGTCTTTGTCAGTGGGAAAACGTACAATCATGAGCTGGTAGTTTAGTGGTTAAGCGCGTTGTGCCAGTAACCGAAAGGTCGCTGGTTCTAATCCCCGAGCCGACTAGGTGAAAAGTCTGTCGATGTGCCCTTGAGCAAGGCACTTAACCCTAATTGCTCCTGTAAGTCGCTCTGGATAAGAGCGTCTGCTAAATGACTAAAATGTAAATGTAAAAATGGGATCAAATACTTTTTTCGCTCACTGTATAAGAAGACTTCTATGCAGGTTTGGTGTGAGAGTGGCACAGTTGAAGAGGCAGGGACTAAACTGGTTTACTCCGTTTTAGAGAAATTGAGTTTGCCATTTAGCCAACATACAGTATCAATGAAGCAAGAATTGATGCAGGATGCTGCATAGGAGTCTGTCTCCTTGCATTTGAGAAATCAGACATTTTAAATGGACCAAGTACAAATCCCTATGGGACTCCTGTAGTGTGCTATCAGAACATACATTTTTTATGACCTCACTATTCTTTTTATTGATATTACAGCACATAAATATCCTAATTGGCAATTGACAGATGTAAATGTTCAAAATAACTAAAGCCTAGTCTGCCTCTGCAGATATCACCATTTTGAATAAGAGTTGATTGAAAAGGGTCACAAATACATGGAGGTGAAGCCAATCTACAGGTACATGAGCCTGAAGAACCAGGGTGATGAAATCAACCTCTCACAGCACCTTGACTTTGAGACAACCAAGTCTCCTACTTTACAGAGAAAAGCAGCAAGACCCCCACCTGTACGCCCTAAAACACAAGATTTACAAATAGCTAGACACAAACTTCCACCCCTTCCTCCATCATTGGAGAACTCCAATTCCTTGTCCTGCTCTGGCGGCTCATGGCACTCACTCTTCTGCTCCTTAGCAGAGGTGCCCTGTAATCTACGGGTCCTGAGTGTGGCACATGTGTGCTCCTGTCTGTGACTGCTCAACTTGGCCCAGTACTGCCAGGCCTTTGAGAGGGAGCAGATTGACGGGGACCTGTTGTACACAGTTGAGCCCAGCATGATGAGGGAGACCCTGGGTATGGAGAGCCTGCACGTGGGCAAGCGTCTCCGCTTCCGAGAGGGCTGGAAGCCCTTACTTGGGTCCTCTGGAGCTGATCAGGTTGGGTAGTAACGGATTACCTGTAATGGGGATACAGTGGGGGAAAAAAGTATTTAGTCAGCCACCAATTGTGCAAGTTCTCCCACTTAAAAAGATGAGAGAGGCCTGTAATTTTCATCATAGGTACAAGTTCAAACAGGTGCCATTAATACAGGTAACGAGTGGAGGACAGAGGAGCCTCTTAAAGAAGAAGTTACAGGTCTGTGAGAGCCAGAAATCTTGCTTGTTTGTAGGTGACCAAATACTTATTTTCCACCATAATTTGCAAATAAATTCATTAAAAATCCTACAATGTGATTTTCTGGAGAAAAAAAATCTCAATTTGTCTGTCATAGTTGACATGTACCTATGATGAAAATTACAGGCCTCTCTCATCTTTTTAAGTGGGAGAACTTGCACAATTGGTGGCTGACTAAATACTTTTTTTCCCCACTGTATGCTATCAGATTATAAAAATGTAAGGGGAAATCTGGGATCCAAACAGCAATAAAGCGGTCATCCTGCCACTTTTTTGGTAACCAGCTGCATGAAAATAAATGACATTTTGGAAAAATGTATTGCATCTTTTATGTTAGGCTAAGTACCTTTTACATTAGTAATGGTTGAAGTGTCATTCAAAATGAAGGTTACTTTTGGAGTAATTTCTGCTGGGAAGCAAACATTCCTCCACACAGCATGATTAAAAGCACAGGTTTCAGGCTTACTGCCTTGTCCTGCTGTCACACCACAGGACCGGTGGAGTCACAGACGTCATTGACATTTTAATTTCTATTGCCAAATTTCTCATTTCATTTACCACAACTACAGCAATAAGATACAGAAATAAATACCCACATGCTTTCCAAGAAAATAAACATAACATAAGTTTTAGGGGCAACAAAAAGCATTCAAAGAAAAGGCTAAATTATCTAAGATATTTGCACATAAAACATATACCTTAGATACCTTGTGGGCTGAAAAGGTGTGAACTTGGGATAACTTTTTCAGTATGAACATAAAACATCAATAACAATCATTTCAGTAACCACACCTGAGGCAAGACTCATTGTCATTGATATTTTACTTTTTAAAAACAATAACACAGTGCAAAAGATTTTAAGACAGCAAATTATTTCTGAGGACAGAGAGGATGGCCTCAGTAAACAAGGGTTCTTTCAACAGTGTAATTGCAGAGCACTACACAGTTGAAATCCTTATAGAATGCTTCACTATTGGGCATTTCACAAATTGTGCATTTATTGGTGTATGTATCAGCTGATGCAAACAAATGTCCCCTTTGGGGATTAATAAAGTAGGCTACTATTTTATCTGAGCTGTTTTCCATAGATATCTTAAAATCAACAATACTGTAAAGGTGCAGAGGACCTGAAATAAAAAGTCCTCCATGATGTCATCGAGAAGCCTCTTGCGTTAACCTGTCTAACACCTGCTCCGGGGTTAGTGACCCAGTCACCTTGACAATCTTCTCAGGATCTGGAGCCCTGCAGAGAGACATAAGGACATGATGAAGCATTTTAGTTTACGTTCCTGAAACTGTTCTGTTATGGGCAACACAGTACATAAACATGCATCATGAAGCATCCAGAGATGTCCATACACAGCTCTCAAACCTTGTCCAAAACGACTTCGCCTCTCTTCTCTTCAACTCCAGAACGAGATCCGCATTGGCCTGCCCATCAGTTGGCGGTGCGGCAATAGCGACACCTACTGCCTCTATAGACACATAGGAAAGAAAATATTGTACCATAGCTACGTAATATATATATATATATAGTTTTACAAAATACTCAATTAGTCTTTACTAGCGGAGTTTATTTTGCCATCAGTGTTTCGCATACAAAATGTGTACACCTGTAATCGCGTTCTGTTCAGATCCCGGTTTCGCCTGCACTTAAATTGTCACCACTTTGTTCTTGTCTCGAGTTACTTGCCCAGAAGACGAAGGTGTCTGCGACGGCTTCTGTAGGCCTACAGTTTTATTCTGAGGAAAGGCGAGGAGCACAAAATGTTTAGAACGTACTGTAGTACTGTTAGTAAGTAGCCATAGGTCTGCATTACAATTATTTCAGTAAATTTGCTTAACCAAACCTCTGGCTGGCTAGTAAAGCTAAACCCTACATGGTGCTTGTTTTAGCACAGCCTTACCGTTTTGGTCTTTTTGGGAATTTTATGCATTTCAGAGTAATTTCTTCTTGCTGCAAAATGTCCCTCAAACTGATGTGATGATGGGGACAGTCTCCGACAGAAGGTGAGAGACAAATGGTTTTGGATAAAGTAACGTTAGCTAAAATGTAACACCTGAAATAATGGTGTCCGGGTTAAACAAAGAGAACAGGTTTGGGTGAACATCAAGGAATGTCCGTGACTATTGAAAATACAGTGCATTTTTTGAATAATCTCCTGTAACTTCAAGGCACAGTTGGTCAAAACATGTAACGTTAAACACAGCTAACGTTGCAACACATCGGTGTCAACTCTGCGCCCTATCTGCGCATGTTTTCAAATCATGAACCGCATCAGATGTATCAGCCTCCATTCAAGTTGCTCTTAATTATTTTTGCTTGAGTTGGGTAGTTCATTTCGTGTAATTTATTTTCAAGTGCAAACTATCTAAATGGTTTCTTGTTTTTTGTCAAGACATTCTGGAAATGAATTACACAACAATTATCCCACATAACATCTGCTCACTTTTTATGACTAGTATACTTCAACAAGTTCTGTATCACTTTAGTTGAAGAGCTGCTACATAATAACTTAATTCATAAACCACATAACACATTAATGAGCAGTACACAACACAAGCATTTATGAAATAGGCTACCTATAAACAGCTGCAGTATAATGAAATACTGTGACATAACTTTAACAGAAACTTGCAGGTTCTGAAGTAAGCATTTAGTAAATGCTTATGTATTGGTTATGAATGTGTTATGCAGTCCTTATGTGCCCCTAAACTTCAAGGTGTTACAGCATATTCAAATTCTATAATGTTATCCCATCCCACCCCCAAAAATACCTATGACTTCCTTTCCTTGCAGTTGAGTGGTTCAGAATTCCTACTGTGGGTCCCCTTTAAGTTCTTCCTATTCATTCAGAAACTTCAGAGCAAGCAGCATAACACACAGCACACACACTCACACACAGAGCCTGGAGCAGCGAGACTCTCGAAAGTGTTTTATCCCTACATGGGCTACCCTGTTGCATTCATCTCAGAAGTTGACAAAAGACGTTGACAAAATAATTGTGGACCAAGTATCCAGTGAAAGTCTCGTCCCTCAATGGAAAAAACTCCAAGCCAAGACACAGAGGAAAATCCTTATCTATGGTAAGAATAACTAATATTTCACCGCTTTGGGATTCTATATAGTCAGATGTTAGGAAAAGCAATAGGGTTGTTCAACCAATTCGGTGCCTTTTGAGAAGTGTAACTTGGTCCCCAAAAAACGTTTGATTTCACCTAATTTTAACATTCTGTCATAAAGGCACATGTTAAAAAAATTAAAACATGTTTTACCATCTCAAGTTTAAGTTTTTTTTAAATGACTATAGTAAGTGCCTACCCATTTGGCACACACTGGTTGAATCAACGTTGTTTCCACGTCATTTGAATGAAGTGATGTTGAACCAACATGGAATAGACTTTGACTTGACGTCTGTGCCCAGTGGGTTTTAAGTGCCAAATAAATTAACAGGTTGACCTTAACAGGGTTGACGATTTCATCTTAAATCAACCATCAATCCCCTGGTGACAGGGGGAATGGAAGATGGTAGTGTGCAACAGGGAGTGGCAATTAAATGCAAGCTTCACAAAAAAATGTAATTGTTAAAACATTTCTAGTCTGTCTATCTATGTTATGGTCGACCCGTTCAGTTTTCCATCCCAAAACACCAGAAAATGGCCCAAAAAAGAGTAGAATCAGTTCACCTGCTTATACGCTATGATTTGACTATTAGATGTTCAATGTTTCTTTGTTCTCCATGTGGTCTATATTAAAGGGCACTTAAAAAAATATATCAGGCTTTTAAAATTCAATATTGGTGCACAATTTGATACTTAAAATATCAAAGGGATGCAAAAGGCACCCATATATAGCTTACATATTTGCCATGACTAAAATGTAATGTAATGTAAATTTATAAATTTACCAGTCATAGGAAAACTGGTACATTTTCACGTCTCATCTGAGCGTCTTGTTTGCTGCACGTTCCATTAATGTTAACATGAGGTGTGGCATTGCAGTGGAGTTAACAGAAGGCTAGGCTGCCCACACCAAAGGCAACTTGCAGCCCAGGTGCTGCTTTAAGTGGAGATGCTGATGAAAGATCACCATGTCATAACTCACCTAGAGACGGACATTCCACTTATCCCCCACATCATGACTAGACTTGTCTTAGTAGAGTTCTAAGGGCCTAATGCATTTAGAACAGGGTTAGTCAGGCACAACATTTGTTTAAAACTTGGTTTTGAACCAAGTTAATGATTTGATTTGATTTTGATATTAATTTTGATCCCCATTAGCTGTTCTGTTACTATCACATCTACTCTTCCTGGTGTCCACAAACTGTGTGCTATTCAAGTGTTTTCTTTGTCCTTCACTTGATCCATTAATGACAAACTATCAATAATTTGCTTGTTTCATTTGGTTGTGACACCTTGTTGTCTTACCTATTGAGAGAGAGACCATGTAATTTGGTTGCCAAGATGAACAATCATATTGTTTGACAGAAATATACAAAGTTATATTGCCATCTATTCTGAAATCTTTTGTTTTTCCAGTTTCCAGAGAACCCCTTCCCTACGACGCAAATGGAGGAAAAGGTATGGAGGTTTGGACGGCAACAAATTACTGGAGCCAAATAAGGAGGAGGACATGAGAGGTAGGCTACACTGCAGGAACGCCTAATTGTGTGTATGAGACTGTTTCAGTGATGTTAACGATGTGGCTTTTTTCCCCCTGTGATTTTTGGCCTATGGGGCTTTTGATTGTGGGTGTTGCCTCAAAGTGCTATAATAAGGAGCTGTGTGGGATGGTGAAACTGAGGAGGATCTACTCTAACCAGACGTCGGTCATTAAAACAGAGCATGTGGACTGTTGTAGGGCCGACAACATGTGAGGGAAAGGAGGCAAAATCAAGTCCAGATGAATTGATGTGCCAGTGGTACTGGTTGTTTATCTGACAAAACAGTAAAATAATTGCCATACAAAAGCCAGTCGAAGTCCATGAGTGTATTTATTATAACTTGTCTTATTAAAGAAATGAACATGCAACAGTGTATTTAACCTTTATATGCATGCATGACAGTGTACGTTTAAAAAAAAATATATGCATGATATTTTCACAACCCATGTGTTATACAGGTGGTTGTAATAGTCTTCTCAGACAGGCTACTCCTCTCTTTACCCCATTCTTGGGTCAGGGGAAATGCTGTCTGCATTCCTCTGTCTGGAATGTTCCAATCAAACAGTATAGACATCAACTCCAGTAAACAAGATACTGGAGACTCAAGCATTGAAGTACAAAAACTACAAATATGTTTATTCAAAGGTTGTGTGTAGTTTTTATTGCTCACTTTTTGATGAGCATTAGCCAATGTTGACGAACGCTGTGTTAAGACATGACATTGTACTAGATAGGCCAGAATTGCTGATGTCAAACAGTATACTTGGAAGGGAATGGCATGTATACTGCTCTTGTCTGTGTGGTAACATAATGAGTGTTTCACTTCTCTTCTCAAGAGTGAAAGTTTAAAATAAAACCATTAAACCCTGTGCAGATTTACCATGGAATCTACTGGTGTTTGTATGGGGAGTGTGGTTCTGGGTTTTTTGGGGGTGGGTTGAGAGTTATTTCAGAAAGTGACTTGACAGGGATGTGAAATATTGTTTTATTTGTTATATTTTCAACTTCTGTGAGCAAGAACTAATAGTGAGTCAGGAAAACGCTGCTGTTGGGATCTAAAAGTGGACTCTGACAGTAAACAACTTTATAGCGTCACATGACATTAAGGGCTGTTTGCATGTAGACATTTTACACAATGCACCTTTTAATGATAAGGTTGGGATACTATTATCATCGTCTTTGTTACAAAAGTCTCCTGAACTCTTGTGATAATAATAGGCTATTCTGAGTTGTGTAAACTTATTTTTTATACCCTATTAACATTGCTGATGAGACCAACACATTTAATTTGCAGTCAGAATTTGAAAAGAACACCATTAATAAATTTGAAAAGAACAACATCCACATAAACATGTAAAGACATGGATTAAACTAAAAAGCCTGGATTTTGTCATTCATGTCCTTTCCTTTGTCATTTGTTTTGCTTTAGAAAATGACGTGATGACGGAGGCCCATGAAGAGAGGAATCCTTCCCCTGTGAAAGGTGCTGAGAGCCAGGTACGTGCTGTGTCCTGCCTGAATCTGACACACAAACAACACGCCAATATCACTCTCTCACACAACATACCCCTGCGTCACCCCAACACGCCCACCTCACTAGATCAAAGTGGGGGAGTTACCCGCACTTTTGTCAAGAAAGCCAAAGCAGCAAGATTTCTGCGTTGTCAGGGTCTTATTGGAAGGTGGCCAGCTAAGGCATGAAAAAATCCAAGCAGAGGTTATTCCAAATCAGATTACAGTCTTTCATCTGAGCTGTAAAATAAAGGGAGGATGAAAGTGCCGCTTTCATGAAAAGGAGGACAGTAGATGGTTGTCTTTTCAGCTTCTAAACAGAGCCAATTTAAGAGCTGCGCAGAGCATGTCGGTGCAGAAGCAGAGGCCATTTAGAAAACCCAGTAGTAGTAAAAAGTTATCCCTCCATGCTTTGTCACTGCTGATGTAAAATGGAAGCCCCCACGTTGCCTTGTAAAGGTAACAATTAAACTGTACTTCACTAAAGAGCACCTGTGATTACTGAAAACATCAAAGGGATGTCTGGGGACAGTCAAATGGAGGCTCGAAATGCCCATCCGATATGTGTGAATTTGAATATAGTAAAATGTAGATACTATATGTTGACTCACTGATTAAGACGTTGAAATTCTTACCATGTCACAATTTGGCATGGATAATATTTTAGCGCTTTGATTGAGGGTAAAATGGCTTAGTTTGTGGCTAAACTCAAATATAACAAGTCTATAACTGCGGAATGCCACATCCTGCTCTCTCAAATCTCTGTGCGTTTGTGTTGTTGTTTTTCATTTCCTAAGGATACGGCTTCATCAGGGAATGTTCCACGTCCCATGCCCAGAAATCCCTTTCAGTCCCAGTCTCAGAGACCTGTCAACTTAGTGAGCCCTGGATCAACAGGTAAGGATAGTGATGAAGGTGTGAGGAGAAAAGTAGGTTTTCACTTCACCTGTGAAGTGGAAGTACAAGAGACTGTAGTTGTCGGCATTTCTCACCCAACCACTCACCTCATTTATACTATTTTGTACCTACCTCTACAGGCCTGCCATCATTGGTCAGTAATGGAGCTCTGAAGCCCCCTCTGCCCCAGGCAGAACAGGAGAGGCCTGTCGCCACGTCCCCCCAGCCCTGGCTCAGTGTGGGCAGGACAGAGACCACGCATGGACACTCAAAGAGGAGGGCGTGAGTATCTCACAAATGATCCTGTACTCATACATTATCTTTACCAGTTATGTTCTTATTGCTTAACTATGCCCTCCTGTGGTGGATGAAATACATTATTTTCTTCCAGGGCTGCTGATGTTCTATTTGACAGCTTTGCCTCTGATGGGAGAGTCAGCATGAACCAGTTTTTTGAGGTAGCTAGTAATTGCTATTGCAAGAGAGACCTGAACAAGAAGCATCATCCACATAGATAGACTACAATGACAAACAAACAATATGTTTATACTGCATTCTCTTCCTCCGTAGACAGTGTGGAGCTCAGGCCTACACAGATCCGACCCCAGAATTAAGGACTGCTACTTCCATATGAGGAAACTGCAGGATGAGGATGGAACAGTAGACAGGAACACCTTTCAGAGGTAAGGTTAGAACTGCATTGCCATCATTGTTACTGGCCTACCGTGACTGAAAATGATGGTTCCACCACCCAGAAAAGCCTTATTTAACACTGGTTAAGATACTATGGGTCCGATTGCATTTACATTTACATTTACGTCATTTAGCAGACGCTCTTATCCAGAGCGACTTACAAATTGGTGCATTCACCTTCTAGCTAGTGGGACAACCACTTTCCAAAGTTTTTTTTTTTTCATTATTTTTTTTGACTGGGCTGAGCGAACAGTTTTGACTGGGCTGAGCGGGAACTATGCTTCCGCAGAGGTAGGGGAGCCAGCAGGCCAGAGGTGGATGAACGCAATGCCTTCGTTTGGGTGTAGGGACTGATCAGAGCCTGAAGGTACGGAGGTGCCGTTCCCCTCACAGCTCCGTAGGCAAGCACCATGGTCTTGTAGCAGATGCGAGCTTCAACTGGAAGCCAGTGGAGTGTGCGGAGGAGCGGGGTGACGTGAGAGAACTTGGGAAGGTTGAACACCAGACGGGCTGCGGCATTCTGGATGAGTTGTAGGGGTTTAATGGCACAGGCAGGGAGCCCAGCCAACAGCGAGTTGCAGTAATCCAGACGGGAGATGACAAGTGCCTGGATTAGGACCTGTGCCGCTTCCTGTGTAAGGCAGGGTCGTATTCTCCGAATGTTGTAGAGCATTGTTGTCACCGCCTTGATGTTAGCGGAGAACGACAGGGTGTTGTCCAGGGTCACGCCAAGGCTCTTCGCACTCTGGGAGGAGGACACAACGGAGTTGTCAACCGTGATGGCGAGATCATGGAACAGGCAGTCCTTCCCCGGGAGGAAGAGCAGCTCCGTCTTGCCAAGGTTCAGCTTGAGGTGGTGATCCGTCATCCATACTGATATGTCTGCCAGACATGCAGAGATGCGATTCGCCCCCTGGTTATCAGAAGGGGGAAAGGAGAAGATTAGTTGTGTGTCGTCTGCGTAGCAATGATAGGAGAGGCCATGTGAGGATATGACAGAGCCAAGTGACTTGGTGTATAGCGAGAATAGGAGAGGGCCTAGAACTGAGCCCTGGGGGACACCAGTGGTGAGAGCACGTGGTGCGGAGACAGCTTCTCGCCACGCCACTTGGTAGGAGCGACCGGTCAGGTAGGACGCAATCCAAGAGTGAGCCGCGCCGGAGATGCCCAGCTCGGAGAGGGTGGAGAGGAGGATCTGATGGTTCACAGTATCAAAGGCAGCAGACAGGTCTAGAAGGACAAGAGCAGAGGAGAGAGAGTTAGCTTTAGCAGTGCGGAGAGCCTCCGTGACACAGAGAAGAGCAGTCTCAGTTGAATGACCAGTCTTGAAACCTGACTGGTTTGGATCAAGAAGGTCATTCTGAGAGAGATAGCAAGAGAGTTGGGTAAAGATGGCACGCTCAATAGTTTTGGAGAGAAAAGAAAGAAGGGATACTGGTCTGTAGTTGTTGACATCAGAGGGATCGAGTGTTGGTTTTTTGAGAAGGGGTGCAACTCTCGCTCTCTTGAAGACGGAAGGGACATAGCCAGCGGTCAAGGATGAGTTGATCAGCGAGGTGAGGTAAGGGAGAAGGTCACCGGAGATGGTCTGGAGAAGAGAGGAGGGGATAGGGTCAAGCGGGCAGGTTGTTGGGCGGCCTGCCGTCACAAGTCGCAAGATTGTATCTGGAGAGAGAGGGGAGAAAGAAGTCAAAGCATAGGGTAGGGCAGTGTGAGCAGGACCAGCAGTGTCATTTGACTTAACAAACGAGGATCGGATGTCGTCAACCTTCTTTTCAAAATGGTTGACGAAGTCATCCACAGAGAGGGAGGAGGGGGGGGGGGGGGGGAGGAGGATTCAGCAGGGAGGAGAATGTGGCAAAGAGCTTCCTAGGGTTAGAGGCAGATGCTTGGAATTTAGAGTGGCAGAAAGTGGCCTTAGCAGCAGAAACAGATGAAGAAAATGTAGAGAGGAGGGAGTGAAAAGATGCCAGGTCCGCAGGGAGTCTAGTTTTCTTTCATTTCCGCTCAGCTGCCCGGAGCTCTGTTCTGTGAGCTCGCAATGAGTCATCAAGCCACGGAGCTGGAGGGGAGGACCGAGCCGGCCGGGAGGATAGGGGACATAGAGAGTCAAAGGATGCAGAAAGGGAGGAGAGGAGGGTTGAGGAGGCAGAATCAGGAGATTGGAGGGAGAAGGATTGAGCAAAGGGAAGAGATGATAGGATGGAAGAGGAGAGAGTAGCGGGAGAGAGAGAGCGAAGGTTGCGACGGTGCATTACCATCTGTGTAGGGGCAGAGTGAGTAGTGTTGGAGGAGAGCGAGAGAGAAAAGGATACAAAGTAGTGGTTGGAGACATGGAGGGGAGTTGCAGTGAGATTAGTAGAACAACAGCATCTAGTAAAGTTGAGATTGCAACAGAACTCACGTTTCCAATTTTAAACAAAACAGCATGTGCAGAGTTGGGAGAATAGAGCCCTATAGAGAAGTGATATTCAATATTTTTCAGCGTGGACCCCATTTTCTTTGCCAGAATTTCTGGGGACCCCATTTATTTTCCATCAGAAATTCTGCCAACCCTATGCCACCCCAAATTTAATGACACAACCTTAAAATCATTACATTTTAATAGATACAGGACCAGTCAAAAGTTTGGACACACCTACTTATTCAAAAGGTTTTTCTTTATTTTTACTATTTTCTACATTGTAGAATAATAGTGAAGACATCAAAACTATGAAATAACACATATGGAATCATGTAGTAACCAAAAAAGTGTTAAACAAATCAAAATATATTTTATATTTGAGATTCTTCAAAGTAGCCACCCTTTGCCTTGATGACAGCTTTGCACACTATTGGCATTCTCTCAACTAGCTTCACCTGGAATGCTTTTCCAACAGTCTTGAAGGAGTTTCCACATATGCTGAGCACTTGTTGGCTGCTTTTCCTTCACTCTGCCGTCTGACTCATCCCAAACCATCTCAATTGGGTTGAGGTCGGGGGATTGTGGAGGCCAGGTCATCTGATGCAGCACTCCATCACTCTCCTTGGTAAAATAGCCCTTACACAGCCTGGAGGTGTGTTGGGTCATTGTCCTGTTGAAAAACAAATGATTGTCCCACTAAGCCCAAACCAGATGGGATGGCGTATCGCTGCAGAATGCTGTGGTAGCCATGCTGGTTAAGTGTGCCTTGAATTCTAAATAAATCACAGACAGTGTCACCAGCAAAGCACCCCCACACCATCACACCTCCTCCTCCATGCTTTACGGTGGGAACTACACATGCGGAGATCACCCGTTCACCCACACCACGTCTCACAAAGACACAGCGGTTGGAACCAAAAATCTCCAATTTGGACTCCAGACCAAAGGACAAATTTCCACCGGTCTAATATCCATTGCTCGTGTTTCTAGGCCCAAGCAGGTCTCTTCTTCTTATTGGTGTCCTTTAGTAGTGGTTTCTTTGCAGCAATTCGACCATGAAGGCCTGATTCACACAGTCCCCTCTGAACAGTTGATGTTGAGATGTGTCTGTGACTTGAACTCTGTGAAGCACTTATTTGGGCTGCAATTTCTGAGGCTGGTAACTCTAATGAACTTATCCTCTGCAGCAGAAGTAACTCTGGGTCTTCCATTCCTGTGGTGGTCCTCATGAGAGCCAATTTCATCATAGTGCTTGATGGTTTTTGCGACTGCACTTGAAGAAACTTTGAAAGTTCTTGACATTTTCCATATTGACTGTCCTTCATGTCTTAAAGTAATGATGGACCATAGTTTCTCTTTGCTTATTTGAGCTGTTCTTGCCATAAAATGGACTTGGTATTTTACCAAATAGGGCTATCTTCTGTATACCCCCCACTACCTTGTCACAACACAACTGATTGGCTCAAACGCATTAAGAAGGAAAGAAATTCCACAAATTAACTTTTAAGAAGGCACACCTGTTAATTGAACTGCAATCCAGGTGACTACCTCATGAAGCTGGTTGAGAGAATGCCAAGAGTGTGCAAAGCTGTCATCAAGGCAAAGGGTGGCTATTTGAAGAATCTCAAATATACAATATATTTTGATTTGTTTAACACTTTTTTGGTTACTACATGATTCCATATTTGTTATTTTATAGTTTTGATGTCTTTACTATTATTCTACAATGTAAAAAAAATAGTAAAAAATAAAGAAAAACCCTTGAATGAGTAGGTGTGTCCAAACTTTTGACTGGTAGTGTATTTTTGATTTTTGTTTTTATTTGCCAACCCCACTGCAATTTGGCCCTGACTTTGAATACCCCTGCTATAGATAATAGAGACGTACTGTATGTTCAAAATACATACATTAGCCCAATCATGGACAGAACCAAAATACATAATCAACTACATTAGACTAGATGTTAGTCAGACCAATTAAACTGGTTATTAGGCCCCGTGTAGCTCAGTTGGTAGAGCATGGCGCTTGCAACGCCAGGGTTCTGGGTTCGTTTCCCACGGGGGGCCAGTATGAAAATGTATGCACTCACTAACTGTAAGTTGCTCTGGATAAGAGCGTCTGCTAAATGACTAAAATGTAAATGTAAAATGTTATGTTCCTTGATCACGTTGGAATGTTATGAAAGTGACTCTGATTGACAAGGTGTTATTTGAATTTCCCCCTAAGGTGTGTGACAGGCTTTGTGTCCCTCATTCTGAAAGCTCTACAGGGAAGGTTTGTCATCCCCGACTTTGCCACCTTCACCGATGAAACTCAAAAGTTGTTCATGAAATGTAAACAGCTGTCTTCAGTCAAGGTGAGGCTCAATTTGATCTGGTGTTTTGAAGCCATGCTTCAAGAATGTGCCCCAAATTACTGTAGTCACGCAATAAAATGCTACCTTTGATATTGTAGGAATTTATAACTTATCTTGGAGTGGGTCTGTGCTAAAACAATACCTCAAAAACCTGATTGTTTGTCTCAGCAGGAGAAGGATAGTGGAGACAGTGCAAAGTGGGGAGTCTCAGTCTGTACGGTCGATGGTCAGAGGTATCGTAAAACCAATGTCACTATGTTTTATGTCATCAACATCACTGGGGACTATATAGAGCAGTCCTTTTAATGTGATTAACAAGACCGTTGGAGAATCCTTTTTTTGGAAGTTAATCCTCTTGTCCTGCCTTGTCTGTGGTCTTTTAGGCTGTCTTTAGGCGACTGTGCCGAATCCTGTGTTCTGGAGGAGGTATCCTGGCCTCTGGTTTATGGCATTGCAATAGACCAGCTTGGAGTGAACAATGTGCACAGATATGTGGGCATGGAGGAGTTCTCAAAATATGACTCTCCTTTCACCCTCACCAAACAAGGTACAGTAAAATACGTATCCTCTTATTTCTGCTTGCAAGACTTTGGGTATTACAGCCATGGAGCCATGAAGTCTCCTTATATGCAATCCAGTAAGCAAAGCAGTATGCATGGCTTGTGATGTTAATAGAGTCCCTGGGAAGCGTTGGCAGTTTTTAATCATGTTCATTCATTTATTTTACGCAGGAGTTCCTCACAGTCCGCTCATTGAGACAGGCGCCATTATTACCGCATCTTTGTTACAGGTAATATACACACACTCCCTCAGTAATGGCTATTTGCATTCACATATAATGCCAATTTGTTTTCAAGTGATGTTTAATGTAATTTGATGTTTTTGTAAAGTTGGCTGCCAGTCTTGGTGCAGAGGAGGAGGAAAAGTATGAATCTGTAAGTAAGGCAGAAGGCAACAAAATTATGTTTTTAATCCTTATGTTTATGTTTACAATAATGTTTTTTAAACTTTCAAGTCACAAATACTATGGTGTGACCAATGCCATCTTTATGTCATCTCCGCAGGTCTTGAATGCTGTCAAAAGACTTTGCAATAAGGAACATGCAAACTTAAACTGCACAAGGTATTTTGAAATGTATGGAATATATACAGCTGTGGAAAAAATTAAGATACCACTGCAAATGTTTCTTAAATCAGCATCTCTACATGTATGACAGCCATTCCATTCCAGCGTACGTTGAATTCCAACACAGGCACACCTCATTCTACTGAATTAGGTACTGATTAGGTGATCACCTGAACCAAATCTTATTTAACGAGGAAAAGTATAAAAACCACTGCTGTGGTCATCACTATCCTCTTGCAATAGTACCAGCTGGATGGCAAAAACAGTGCTAATAGTACCTCAAAAGTAATATGAATCAAAAAATAACTATTGACCATGCCAAAAGGGTTGAAAAGGAACGTTTTGAGTGAGGAAAAGAAGGGTTCAATGCTGGCTTTACTGGCAGAGGGATACAGTGAGCGTCAGGTTGCTTCCATCCTTAAAATTTCAAAGACGGCGGTTCATAAGAACAAGGTCATCACCAGACATTGGGGACAACAAAGCTATAGACCGGCAGAGGGCGAAAACGACTCTACTGACCGGGATGAACGCCAACTCATTCGAATGTCACTTAACAACCGTAGGATGACATTAAGTGACCTATAAAAAGAATGGCAAACGGCAGCTGGGGTGAAGTGCACGGTGAGTTCGAAACAGGCTTCAAGGGGCAGGGCTGAAGTCGTGCAAAGCTAGAAAAAAGGCTCCGGGATGCTGACCTTCTAGGCAGAGTTGCAAAGAAAAAGCCATATCTCAGACTGCCCATCTTAATCTTTTCTTTTTATTGGCCAGTCTGAGATGGCTTTTTCTTTGCAACTCTGAAGGTCAGCATCCCAGAGTCGCCCCTTCACTGTTGACGTTGAGAGTGGTGTTTTGCGGGTACTATTTAATGAAGCTGCCAGTTGAGGACCTGTGAGGCGTCTGTTTCTCAAACTAGACACACTAATTTATTTGTCCTCTTGCTCAGTTGTGCACCGGGGCCTCCCACTCTTTCTATTCTGGTTAGACAGTTTGCGCTGTTCTGTGAAGGGAGTAGTACACAGCGTTGAACGAGATCTTCAGTTTCTTGGCAATTTCTCGCATGGAATAGCCTTCATTTCTCAGAACAAGAATAGATTGACGAGTTTCAGAAGAAAGTTATTTGTTTCTGGCCATTTTGAGCCTGTAATCGAACCCACAATTGCTGATGCTCCAGATACTCAACTATTCTCAAGAAGGCCAGTTTTATTGCTTCTTTAATCAGCACAACAGTTTTCAGCTGTGCTAACATAATTGCAAAAGGGTTTTCTAATGATCAATTAGCCTTTTTAAAATGATAAACTTGGATTAGCAAACACAACGTGCAATTGGAACACAGGACTGATGGTTGCTGATAATAGCCTCTGTACGCCTATGTAGATATTCCATAAAAAAATCAGCAGTTTCCAGCTACAATAGCCATTTACAACATTAACAATGCCTACATTGTATTTCTGATTAATTTGATGTTATTTTGATGGGCAAAAAAATTGCTTTTCTTTCGAAAACAAGGACATTTCTAAGTGACCCCAAACTTTTGAACGGTAGTGTATATATTTTACAAACAAACTTGTTAACAATAGATTGATTACCAAAGTTTAATATCTCACATTCTTAGCAATTTGCAAGATTTTTTGTATTGCTGTCAGCTGTCCCTGCTGACCTGTCATGTCGGTCTGTCATACAGTTACCAGAGCTTGAGAAAGGACAGCATCAGACTTCATGCCTTATCTTTTTACCTTCAAGAAAAGAAAGTAAGCAAATTTCTTCTACGTCAAACTAGGTAGTGATAAACATGTTTGTTTTGTGAACACTTGATAGATGTTATTCTCTACTTTTACTGTTTTTGCCCTGAAAATGATCACGATCTTATTTTGGCAGTGCTTTCCGGAGACCGTTGACATAAATGCCACGTTGGATTTAATGCTGCAGGTAAATGTTTGACCATTTAATTTCCATATTTAGTTACTTTGATTTGATTGAAATGTTTCTGATGCATTTTTATTGTGTGTCAGTGTGCCTCCACAGAGGTCACATGCGAATCAGGAGCAGCCATGGCAGCCTCGTTAGCCAATGGGGGACTCTGCCCTCTGTCAGGTGACCAGGTGCTGTCGCCCTCGGCTACAAAGAGTATGCTCTCCATGATGCAAGTGGCGGGAATGAACGAGTACTCCAGAATATTCAATTTTAAGGTTGGTTTGTTTGCATTCTCAAAACAATCATTGAAATAATAATAATAATATGCCATTTAGCAGACGCTTTTATCCAAAGCGACTTACAGTCATGCGTGCATACATTTTTGTGTATGGGTGGTCCCGGGGATCGAACCCACTACCTTGGCGTTACAAGCGCCGTGCTCTACCAGCTGAGCTACAGAGGACCACATGTGGTGCTAGGGTCTGGTCTAGTGGTAACATAAATTCCCCGGTCTCACTATTCAGTTTTTGTCCTGTATCTTTCTGTGCTGTACATTTTATGTTTACTTCTGTCACAAGATTATTAGACGAGAAAATGCACTACACGTATCATAAGCTTGAAGCAGTAAGATGAAGGAGCATTTTGGGGCAAGTGAAGCAAATTAAGCCATTAATGTAATCTCATACTTTTCTTCTTGTCTTATGTATTTGAATTAATGCTTTGAAACCTCCCATTGGCAGGAGCTTACCGGAGCTGAGTACCGGCACCTCAAATGTTCTACTGCTTGAGCTCCTGCACCTCTTATAGAATATTAGCTCAAAAGTATTGTGGAGCTCATGCACCTAAATATAAACCGTACTGGAACCCAAATGAGTACCGGTACCTATTTCAGTCAAAGTCAAGCACTGGTTAATGATAATCAATGTTATGTTTTGCAGACGTCTGCACCAGCCAAGTCTAGTAAATCAGGAGTTATGCTGGCAGTTGTCCCAGGAGTTCTAGGCTTGCTGTGCTGGTCACCTGACCTGGACTCCTTTGGAAACTGCTGGAAGGCTGTGCACTTCTGTGAGGTTGTGAAACCATCACAACTCTCTAACAATTTCCTTTTATAGCATAATTGTGGTTTGTTCTTCCTTGCTTCTCACTGATTTGTTTTATTTTTGGGGGGTTTTAAGGAACTCATATCAACATTCCAGCTACACAGTTTTGACATCCGAACACCATTCAGACAGGTGCTTACATACAGGCAATGGAAAGCAGAGTCTGAGGTCAGTATTTGAGGCCATCTACACAACAACACTTTGCAGCTATGTGATGTTAAAGGCCCATTGCAGTCAAAAACTTGATTTTCCTGTGTTTTAAATATATTTCCACACAATGAGGTTGGAATAATACTGTGAAAATGATAAGGCCCTTTTAGTGTAAAAGTTGTTTGAAAAGACCGCCTGAAATGTAGCCTGTTTTGGTGGGATGGAGCTTTGGCCTTTCTATGGTGAGATCACCATGTGGCAAATTAGTTAATAGACCAATAAAGAGTTCCAAACCTCTGTCAATAACAGCTAGTTTTCAGTTTTCCCATCTCCAGTTAGACCACTCCCAGACAGTCCTAGCAAAATTATTGCTTGAAAATTGCTCTTTGCTAAAAAGCTATTTTTTTATATTTTTGACCATTTTAATTTAAAACAATCACAGTAAGGTAATTAATTGTTATGTATCAATTATTTGATATTGAGATAAAAATGGCTGCATTGGACCTTTTAACAATGTGGCTCAAACTCACTGTCAAGGTCTATTCCAGGGATATTTGAGAAATAGTTTTTTTTTTTTTCTACATCCTTCTAATTTGACAGGGTTATCAGATCATGAACATCCTACTGGCTGCCTTCAAAGGTGACATACAATCCTTGCGAAGGTACGGTTGCCCTAACTAGAATGTTTGTCTTTCCTCGCATACATTAGAACTGAAAAGAGAAATTTGATGCGCCATGAGACACTGTATTTAAAAAAACATTATCTTCTAAATGCAAACACTTGATGATCATCTGTCCCTCGCCAGGTACTTCCTGTCTGGGGCTGACGTGAACGCCGTGGACTACGACGGGAGGTCCGCTCTGCATGTGGCTGCCTCCGAGGGTCACTGTGAGGTCATCCGCTTCCTGGTGGAGAACACAGGCACCAACTACTCCCTCAAGGACAGGTAAGGACTAAGAAGGCTTCCTCCCTATGTCTTCTGCCGTGAGCTGAAAAGGCAGGACAGGTGAAAGTTAGAGCGCTACATGGTGGACACCTACTAGGAATCTGGTTTTACCTGTCCAATTCTTTCACCAGTGCAGATGAGGGAAAGGAGACAAGGAGTGAAAGCCCCCATAGGCTATTGAGGCTTGAAGTTTATACAGCAGACTTATAACCTCACAATTTTGTGGCATGTTCTCTTGACAGATGGGGGAACACACCCATGCAGGAGGCTATGAGACACAGCCATGGTCCTGCAGCCCAACTACTCAGGAAATATGAGGAGCAGCCAGTGACTCTGTGAGCAGTAAAGGCACATACAGGATCAACGGTTGGCGCTAAACAGACATTTGTCTCTCAATTATTTTCCAATATATGTGGAAGTGTGTTTTAATTCATATATGTTAATAAACTTTCTATGATGTAAAACCGGGGCAGCATTTAGGGTCCACGCTACACTGGTTATTTTGTTTTGTTTTCATTTATGTAATTAATTGACTTGACAATCCACATTAATTTGTTTTCATCGTTTTATATACAGTAGCAACCTATAGGCCTACATTTTTCTAGCCAATTAGGCCACCACAAATAGCATATTTTGTAAAACAATTAAATGTACTGATAGGCTTTAACAGTAATATTGTCCCACTTGCTTTTTTGTGTACATTTTACTGTTTTGTTATCTGCCTTACTTACGTAATGTAAACGTCGGCACTTTAATGTACATCAACCGCAAGCTCTCAACCAATCGTGTTCGAGGACTCAACAGACCTCGTGAAGTGATTTAGCGCATTGATACATTGCGACGATGGAGACGGACTGGAGGGCAATCTGGACACAATGTAACTAACTAACGGGTCAATTATTAGAGCACGGTTGGCACCCATTATTTATTTCCATTTATTATTTTGTCCTTTTGATTCTTGAAGGATGTCGGTAGCCGGGTTGAAGAAGCAATTTCACAAAGCAAGTCAGGTAAGGAGACGACACGGTGCATAGTGTTGTTAGCATGGCGCCATGTGGATAAAGCCCATACACTTCAGCAAGCAACCGTTGCCTCAGCGATAATTAGTATGACGTTTGGTGGCAACGCGCCAAGAATGGGAATTAATTCGTATCTTTATTTTAGGGCAGTATAGGCCTACCAATCAATATCAACTGTAAAGACCTACAGATAGGAAAAATAAATTGTGTAGGCTTCTTTTGTGTTGGTGGATTCTGGACTTTGTTTTCTAAGGTGGACTATATCCTTGGCTTCTCTTATCTCCGAGATTACTCTAGCTGAAAATGCGTGATTGAACACACCTTCAGTAAACAGTGCCAGGGATACTAACTGGGTCACCACAGAAATTACTGTCCAAAATAGTTGCTCTTGATAGGCCTATGCTATCTACACAGCAGAGCCAATGAACTTGGGATCTACAGGCATGACTGATCTACAGCTTCAGTCAATTAACTGCAGAACATACAATTGATGTATACTGAACAAAAATATAAACTCAACAATTTCAAAGATTTTACTGAGTTACAATTCCTATAAGGAAATCAGTCAATTGAAATAAATTATTAGGCTCATTTAGGGGCTCAGGCCCCCCCCCCCCCCCCCCCCATCATCCTGCAGGTGAAGAAGATGGCTGTGGAGGTCCTGTGCTGGATGATCCTGGTCTCCGGTTGTGAGGCCAGTTGGACGTACTGCCAAATTCTCTAAAACAATGTTTATGGTAGAGAAATTAACATTAAATGAACTGGCAACCGCATTGGTGGACATTCCAGCAGTTTGCATGCCAATTGCACGCTCTCTCAACTTGAGACATCTGTGGCATTGTGTTCTGTGACAAAACTGCACATTTTAGTGGCCTTTTATTGTCCCCAGTACAAGGTGCACCTGTGTAATGATCATGCTATTTAATCAGCTTCTTGATATGCCACACGTGTCAGGTGGATGGATTATCTTGGCAAAGGAGAAATGCTCACTAAAAGGCATATAAACACATTTGTACACAAAATCTAAGATAAATAAGCTTTCTGTGCATATGGAAAACTTAAGGGAACTTTTTATTTCAACTCATGAAACATGGGAACAATATTTTACATGTTGCGTTTTATATTTTTGTTCAGTGTAAATAAGGATATACCAAATGTCTTTGGGCTCTGATAATGACATTGTTGGAAAGGACAGGTGCACAGGTATCAGTGTGGTAACGCTTGTCATTTATAGAGGAGGAACAGTTAGGCTAACTTTTACAACTCAAGTGTGATCATGAATCATGCATAAGTGATAGATATGCCTACAGCACAGGTATGAATGTCTAGGAGATTATACATCCTAATCGCCTTCACATTGGGTGCCCATTTTCAACACCATTTCCATGCTGGTGCCCATATTGTTCTACTATTATGGGGGTGCCCTGATTTGTTTGTGAGTGCCAACCAGACACCCATGTAATTCAGAACCCTGCATTTAATGGCCTAGGTTTACCATGCATGCAATACTGGACTTACTATCAACCTAATGTCTCTAAATGTATTCAGTTATGAATGGCCAATGAAGAGGCTGCTTGACAACATGCATACAAATCACACAATTACCCCTTGGGACTTCCAGGGAATTTACATTTAAGTCATTTAGCAGACGCTCTTATCCAGAGCGACTTACAGTTAGTGAATACATTTTTTAATATTTTTTTTATACTGGCCCCCCATGGGAACCGAACCCACAACCCTGGCGTTGCAAACGCCATGCTCTATCAACTGAGCTACATCCCTGCCGGCCATTCCCTCCCCTACCCTGGACGACGCTGGGCCAATTGTGCGCCGCCCATGAGTCTCCCGGTCGCGGCCGGCTGCGACAGAGCCTGGATTCGAACCAGGATCTCTAGTGGCACAGTTAGCACTGCGATGCAGTGCCTTAGACCACTGCGCCACTCAGGAGCTCATCAAATCAAATTGTATTTGTCACATGCGCCAAATACAACAGGTATGCTTACTTACAAGCCCATAACCAACAGTGCAGTTCAAGAAATAGAGTTAAGTAAATATTTACTAAATGAACTAAAGTAAAAAATAACACAATAAAATAACAATAATGAGGCTATATACAGGGGGTACCGGTACCGAGTCAATGTGCGTGGGTACAGGTTAGTCGAGGTAATTTGTACATGTAGGTAGGGGTAAAGTGACTATGCATAGATAATAAACAGCGAGTAGCAGCAGTGTAAAAACAAGGGGGGGGGGGTCAATGTAGATAGTCCGGGTGGCCATTTGATTAATTGTTCATCAGTCTTTTGGCTTGGGGGTAGAAGCTGTTAAGGAGCCTTTTGGACCTAGACTTGGCGCTCCGGTACCGCTTGCCGAGCGGTAGCAGAGAGAACAGTCTATGATTTGGGTGACTGGAGTCTTTGACAATTTTTTGGGCATTCCTCTGACACCACCTAGTATATACAGTGGGGAGAACAAGTATTTGATACACTGCAGGTTTTCCTACTTACAAAGCATGTAGAGGTCTGTAATTTTTATCATAGGTACACTTCAACTGTGAGAGACGGAATCTAAAACAAAAATCTAGAAAATCACATTGTATGATTTTTAAGTAATTAATTTGCATTTTATTGCATGACATAAGTATTTGATCACCTACCAACCAGTAAGAATTCCGGCTCTCACAGACCTGTTAGTTTTTCTTTAAGAAGCCCTCCTGTTCTCCACTCATTACCTGTATTAACTGCACCTGTTTGAACTTGTTACCTGTATAAAAGACACCTGTCCACACACCCAATCAAACAGACTCCAACCTCTCCACAATGGCCAAGACCAGAGAGCTGTGTAAGGACATCAGGGATAAAAGTGTAGACCTGCACAAGGCTGGGATGGGCTACAGGACAATAGGCAAGCAGCTTGGTGAGAAGGCAACAACTGTTGGCGCAATTATTAGAAAATGGAAGAAGTTCAAGATGACGGTCAATCACCCTCGGTCTGGGGCTCCATGCAAGATCTCACCTCGTGGGGCATCAATGATCATGAGGAAGGTGAGGGATCAGCCCAGAACTACACGGCAGGACCTGGTCAATGACCTGAAGAGAGCTGGGACCACAGTCTCAAAGAAAACCATTAGTAACACACTACGCCGTCATGGATTAAAATCCTGCAGCGCACGCAAGGTCCCCCTGCTCAAGCCAGCGCATGTCCAGGCCCGTCTGAAGTTTGCCAATGACCATCTGGATGATCCAGAGGAGGGATGGGAGAAGGTCATGTGGTCTGATGAGACAAAAATAGAGCTTTTTGGTCTAAACTCCACTCGCTGTGTTTGGAGGAAGAAGAAGGATGAGTACAACCCCAAGAACACCATCCCAACCGTGAAGCATGGAGGTGGAAACATCATTCTTTGGGGATGCTTTTCTGCAAAGGGGATAGGACGACTGCACCGTATTGAGGGGAGGATGGATGGGGCCATGTATTGCAAGATCTTGGCCAACAACCTCCTTCCCTCAGTAAGAGCATTGAAGATGGGTCGTGGCTGGGTCTTTGGCTGGGTCTTCTATCATGACAACGACACGAAACACACAGCAAGGGCAACTAAGGAGTGGCTCCGTAATAAGCATCTCAAGGTCCTGGAGTGGCCTAGCCAGTCTCCAGACCTGAACCCAATAGAAAATCTTTGGAGGGAGCTGAAAGTCCGTATTGCCCAGCGACAGCCCCGAAACCTGAAGGATCTGGAGAAGGTCTGTATGGAGGAGTGGGCCAAAATCCCTGCTGCAGTGTGTGCAAACCTGGTCAAGACCTACAGGAAACGTATGATCTCTGTAATTGCAAACAAAGGTTTCTGTACCAAATATTAAGTTCTGCTTTTCTGATGCATCAAATACTTTAGATTCCGTCTCTCACAGTTGAAGTGTACCTATGATAAAAATTACAGACCTCTACATGCTTTGTAAGTAGGAAAACCTGCAAAATCGGCAGTGTATCAAATACTTGTTCTCCCCACTGTAGGTCCTGGATGGCAGGAAGCTTGGCCCCAGTGATGTACTGGGCCGTACACACTACCCTCTGTAGCGCCTTACGGTCGGATGCCGAGCAGTTGCCATACCATGCGGTGATGCAACCGGTCAGGATGCTCTCGATGGTGCAGCTGTATAACTTTTTGAGGATCTGGGGACCCGTGCCAAATCTTTTCAGTCTCTTCAGGGGGAAAAGGTGTTGTCGTGCCCTCTTCACAACTGTCTTGGTGTGTTTGGACCATGATAGTTTGTTGGTGATGTGGACACCAAGGACTTAACTCTCGAACCGCTCCCAAATACACGCCCCGTCGGCTGTTAATTGGGGGCTGTTCATCCTCCTGTTTCGTAGTAATCCGACATAAAACCATGTATGTTCGGTCATGGCTAGTGAGTGTTCATTTCTGTACATGCTGACACTTCAAGCTCCTTGTAATGTGCATGCCAGCACTGACAGTGAGTGTTCTTGAAGATGCCAGACTACACTGACATAAGAGAAATGTCTTGAAGTGGACGGCCAAGGACTGACATGCTGCAGTAACAGTGGTTTAAGCTTTAGTTGTTGGAACCCTTACACTAGTTGTGTATATCAGTGCAGGAGTTCACACCAGTTTTTGGATGTAGGCTAGGCTACTTTCAGCTTACTAGTTACTTATTAGCCATATTTGGTTTTGCCAGTACAGGGCCCCATTCATTCTGAAAATATGTCCAAAACACAAACATGCCAATCCAACTCCTATTAAAACTGCATCCCATTCTGAAGACATCGTCTGCATAAAAAAAAAAATTAGTTGCGTCATTACGGTAGTCCACCTTTTAATTTGAATGTTTTGATGCATACATATACAGTACCAGTCAAAGGTTTGGACACACCTACTCATTCCAGGGTAGAATAATAGTGAAGACATCAAAACTATGAAATAACACATATGGAATCATGTAGTAACCAAAGAAGTGTTAAACAAATCAGAATATATATAGATTCTTCAAATAGCCACCCTTTTCCTTGATGACAGCTTTGCACACTTGGCATTCTCTCAATCAGATTCATGAGGTAGTCACCTGGAATGCATTTCAATTAACAGGTGTGCCTTGTTAAAAGTTAATTTGTGGAATTTCTTTCCTTCTTAATGCGTTTGAGCCAAACAGTTGTGTTGTGACAAGGTAGGGGGGGAATGCATTTCAATTAACAGGTATGCCTTCTTAAAAGGTAATTTGTGGAATTTATTTGCGTTTCAGCCAATCAGTTGTGTTGTGACAAGGTAGGGGGGGTATACAGAAGATAGCCCTATTTGGTAAAAGACCAAGTCCATATTATGGCAAGAACAGCTCAAAAAGCAAAGAGAAATGACAGTCCATCATTACTTTAAGACATGAAGATCAGTCAATACGGAAAATGTCAAGAACTTTGAACGTTTCTTAAAGTGCAGTCGCAAAAACCATCAAGCGCTATGATGAAACTGGCTCTCATGAGGATCACCACAGGAATGGAAGACCCAGAGTTACCTCTGCTGCAGAGGATAAGTTCATTAGAGTTACCAGCCTCAGAAATTGCAGCCCAAATAAGTGCTTCAGAGTTCAAGTAACAGACACATCTCAACATCAACTGTTCAGAGGAGACTGCGTGAATCAGGCCTTCATGGTCGAATTGCTGCAAAGAAACCACTACTAAAGGGCACCAATAAGAAGAACTTGCTTGGGCCAAGAAACACGAGCAATGGACATTAGACCGGTGGAAATCTGTCCTTTGGTCTGGAGTCCAAATGTGAGATTTTTGGTTCCAACTGCTGTGTCTTTGTGAGACGCAGTGTAGGTGAATGGATGATCTCCGCATGTGTAATTGCCACCGTGAGGCATGGAGGAGGAGGTGTGGGGGTGCTTTTCTGGTGACACGGTCTGTGATTTATTTAGAATTCAAGGCAAACTTAACCAGCATGGCTACCACAGCATTCTGCAGCAATACGCCATCCCATCTGGTTTGGGCTTAGTGGGACAATCATTTGTTTTTTAACAGGACAATGACCCAACACACCTCCAGGCTGTGTAAGGGCTATTTTACCAAGAAGGAGAGTGATGTAGTGCTGCATCAGATGACCTGGCCTCCACAATCCCCCGACCTCAACCCAATTGAGATGGTTTGGGGTGAGTTGGACCGCAGAGTGAAGGAAAAGCAGCCAACAAGTGCTCAGCATATGTGGGAACTCCTTCAAGACTGTTGGAAAAGCATTCCAGGTGAAGCTGGTTGAGAGAATGCCAAGAGTATGCAAAGCTGTCATCAAGGCAAAGGGTGGCTACTTTGAAGAATCTCAAATATAAAATATATTTTGATTTGTTTAACACTTTTTTGGTTACTACATGATTCCATATGTGTTATTTCATAGTTTTGATGTCTTCACTATTATTCTACAATGTAGAAAATAGTAAAAAATAAAGAAAATCCCTTGAGTGAGTAGGTGTGTCCAAACTTTTGACTGGTACTGTAATTAAACTTGTTTTCAAGGGATGAGAGAAGGGAGAGCACGTTACCATACAAATTGTATACCAACTTATTTATTGAAAGAGGTCAGATTTTGGCAGTGTTTGCTTTCTCTTTTGCCATTACACACTCACTGTCTTTCCTCATATTTTTCTCTTACCTTGCCACAGCTATTGAGTGAGAAGATAAATGGGGCTGAGGGAACAAAGCTGGATGAAGAATTTCAAAAAATGGAAAGGGTGAGGCAGGGCTTTATTACATTTATATTATTCCCTTTTTACACAAGAATTTGTCAAATTAGGTAGACCAATGTCAAACACTGATATATAATTTTCCCCTGCTCTGTCCTCATCATTGATTATTCTGTTTTAGAGAATTGATGTGACCCAAAAAATGGTTCTTGAACTTGTGCCCAAAACCACAGAGTACCTCCAGCCAAACCCAGGTATGGTATCACTTGATATACTGACCCAGTATAGAATTTCAATGTACAACTAAATGTGTATGTGATATATTTTATGCCAATATTGATCCACAGCATATAGAGCCAAACTGGGCATGCTCAACACGGTGTCTAGGATCTGTGGGCAGGTGAAGGCGGTGGGGTACCCCCAGACTGAGGGAATGCTGGGAGACTGCATGTTGCACTACGGCAGAGAACTGGGAGTCGGCTCTGCCTTTGGTACGTCAACAATTGTAATCCACATGGAGCTAACTGCTTACAGTCGACACACACCATCCCATATTCTACTATCACGTATTTTATACACATTCAGATCAGGTTATGGGTCTCACCTCTAAAAAGCTTTTAACCCAACACTCAGCAGATAAATCGATATCGTACTTATGTAAGGTTCTACGCCTCAGTAAGTTTTGCCTCTTCCAAAAAAGTATGGGCCTAGAGATGTACAAATGCTTAGTACACTACTATCCTCCCTGACCAAAGATCAAGATGTCGATCATATGACCTGGAATGTATTTGAATTATTGAATAGTTCAGTTTATTCCTTCTTACATGATGTGCTCAACCGAATTTTTTTAGTTTTTAAGATGCCTCTTCATGTCTGTGAATTCCATGTAGGATGTGCACTGGCGGACATTGGGGAAGCATTGAAACAGATGTCCGTAGCCAGAGATTCCCTGGACGTCAGTGTGAAGCACAACTTCATCGACCCACTGCAGGCACTCCAGGACAGAGAGTTGAGGGAAATAGGGGTGAGGCTCATCTCCATCACTCAGAATAGTCTCAGAATTGACAAAACGATTAATGCTTCGGCAAAGGGAACAGCCTGAACAGGTATCAGATTAGTAGTCATTGACCTATGTGCTGTAGGCCACTAGTCCTTGGATTTATGGCTTGTAGGCTTAAGGTTAGGGTCCTTTGATGTCTACCTATCATTGTAAATGAAGATCAAGTGCATTTTACGGCTGTGTGTGTCATAAATGTTTAATGTTGAAAATGACAGTATGGATCAAATGCTTATAATAGTTTTGGTTGATATACAGTTCACAAGCAAATGGGTGTTTTCAGATCCATACTGTACTTATCATTCATTCTTCAGTACCACCTAAGAAAACTTGAAGGCCGTCGTCTAGACTTTGACTACAAGAAACGACGCAAAGGAAAGATCCCTGATGAGGAGATCATGCAGGCGTGGGAGAAGTTTTCGGACTCCAAAGAGCTGGCAGAGAGAAGCATGTTCGACCTCTTAGAAAGGGATGTGAGCAAAAACAAAAATACTGCAATTCTACAACACACGCTTATTTTTCTTTATAAACAAGGAGATGCAAAGTTCTCTAAACATGTTCATGAAAGTTAGCTTGTTGGCTCATTATCATGTATACTGGCCAGGTGAGATTGACAATGCTTCTGTGCTGATATCTATTGTGGTCTGGTATTGCAGGCGGAGCATGTGACTCACCTATCAGCTTTGATTGGGGCCGCTCTGGACTATCACCGCCAGTCTTGCCAAATCCTGGACAGCCTCAATCGAAGTCTGCAGGGCAGGTGATTGTATCAACCAAATTATTAAATACACTTAATCATGAGCTACACGTACTCAATACTCAAGACACATATCATGCTGCCTGGCTTTGGTTCATTGTTGATGGTTGTGACCTTGTCTATCCCTTTCTTTCTAGGCTAGCCATTGCAGGCAACCGACCAAAGAGGGAGCCCAGGCCCAAATCTATTAAGGTTAACACAATCAACACACAACAAAATGGATCTTCCCACAGATCATCAGTTATATCTTCAGGTGATTAGCTCAATTGTTGATCAATTTTAATTTGTTCAATTCATTTCCATAATGTTATTTCTGTAATGTTTATTAGTCTAAATCATGTTTTACTATTGTAAAATGGTGTCCCTTTTGTAAATTGAGGTCCTCTGGATGGTTGACTATAGCTTTCCCGATTTAAGTTGTTAATATGTCCATTATAATTTATTGCAGATCCCCAGATAAGCCAAGCTGTCAATGGAAAAAGTAAGTACTGATACCCTAAAATGTATGACAGATGCAATACTAACCAACTCATTGAGACATCCTTGTTTTTCTAATTTGAATGCAAATTAACTTGAGCTTGCATTTCGAAACAGGATACCAGTATTTGTATATTTATATGCTGCAACTGTATGGGAGGTAGGACTTTCAACTAAGATATGCTATTTCTTGTCATCCTACTCCACTTATCCCAGATGACCAGTACACAAACATACTGCTAAGACCAGAGAGTCCCATCATCTGTAACCGTGAGTAAACCCACAGGTCATGGTACCGACTTCAGACCAAAACCTTCCATGATGTCCTGTCTATCATATTGCTCACACAAGCAAATGGAAATCATGTAAATAAAATCATGGAATTAAAAGGAAATAACCAGTGTGTGCATAATAGTATGGACTGTTTAGATTGAATAATTAGTGGTCATCTAGAAATATCAATTTCAAGTCAATTGTGGGTCTCTTTCAGATGATTGTGAGGTTTTCCTAGACCAGCCTTGCTGCCGGGCGCTCTACTGCTTTGTGGCTGAGAATGAAGGAGAGCTGGGCTTCAAGGAGGGCGACCTCATCATCCTCACCAACCAGATTGATGACAACTGGTATGAGGGCATGATCAGTGGGGAGTCTGGCTTTTTTCCCATCAGCTACGTCAATGTCCTTGTGCCTTTGCCACAGTGACACCAGGGTAGCACCACAAGCTATGGGGGCCGGCTATGAAGTCATCACCTCTGAGCACTCTCTCTGGAAATCTTATTTTGCAATAAGTCACTCCACTTTCGGATGTATTTATTGACTGAATTTTTTGTATTTCTTAGAGCTTATCTGTTAGAAGCATTTCAGGACTGCCTCATTTGGTGGTACCATCACTTCCTCCTGGATCTGTGAATTCTTAATTTCACCTTATTTTCTGAGGCCATAGAGCTACTCATCATTACAGTACATCTCATTGACGGGAAATGTCTTTGCGTACTCTACAGGTTGCATCAAGGCTACACCAGTTCAAACAGTCCTATGAAATATTTGCTCTCTCCCTTGAAAGCCCATCTTAGTTACCTTTGTCTCCATTGTGTGCTGTTAGGTGGCCTAAAGCTCACCTTTTGTTACTTTCCCCCTGTGTTGTCTAGTGGTCTTTCCTCAGCATAATAATGGGTAAATTAGTAGTGACACTTTTTAATTCAGCACACCTTTTGTGATATCATGGAATACTTCAGCTGCTTTATTAAGATTTGTTTTAGTCTTGGGACTGTTATTATCATGTTCAGGGTCACTATTCATGTCTTCATTTAGCTCTCGAGAACCTAAGGGGTGTATACCCAGCTTATAGCTGGACCCTGTTTTGGGTTCTCAGATGATTGTACGGACCACAGCTGGCTCCATGTGAACTACAATCCCGATGCTGTTGTTTATTACCGACGCTCTGTCGAAACGCAAATGCACCTCACTTGTGATACAGTTTTGGAAATCTTAACTTTTATATAAGCGAGATAATATTTCAAATACAAAATATACTTACTGTGCGCAGTTTAGCAAAGTTGCACCTAGCTGTTTTCACACACCGTTACGACATCCTCTCACCTTCCAGTGTTTTAAAAAGAAATACCGCCGGGTGCAATGTTTTCTTTCTCGCTTCCATGAAAGTTAAGTTCCAAATGTTTCCGAAACTGGATCGCGTGCGAGGTGTATTTGAGTTTAGACAGAGCATTTCGGAGCGTCAGGGAATTCCCCTCAGGCGACAGACAGCTTTGTGAGTAGACGGTATAATTAAGTGCTAAGGCCCGAGGGGGTGTGGTTTAGGGACGACGCAATGCGGAATGCCTGGATACAGCCCTTAGCCGTGGTATATTGGCCGTATACCACAGACCCCCGAGGTGCCGTATTGCGATTATAAACTGGTTACCAACATAATTAGAGCAGTAAATAACATTTTTTTGTCATACTTTTGGTATACGGCTGTCATCCAATCAGCATTCAGTGCTCGAACCACCCAGTTTGTTTAATATTACCGTCTATTGAATGGGTTGGCCTTCATTGTGGTAGTGTGGTAAGGTCAGGGTTAAGAATTGTCTGCATATCAATTTGAACTAGAAAATAGGAAATCTCTTATCAAACACCATGTGTGATCTTTATAGCTGGTCAGTGTTTAATGTTACACTACACTTAAGGTGTTTTAGACCTGTGCATTATCCACTTGAATATGATCCCTTTATTTGTTTTTACACCCTTCCACAAACAGTAGAAACACGTTGCCTTTAAGCACTTTTTAAAAATATGTTGCTGTAGCCTTGACAATTACTGTATTTGCACACTTAATTTCTTTATTGCCAAGGAAATACACACATAAGGTATTAATCACCTCATGTATATCCTATTGTAGGGTCTAGGAATAATGTTGAACTAGAAAAGATTTAGCTGTAAGCCATATTGTCACAGATTGTGTCAATCACTATGAATGATCCCAGAATGCTGTAATATAGTGTACATTTCTTAACTATTTATTGTAGAATGCTTGCTGTTTCACTAATTGAAATTAGTTAAATTACAATTGTTGAAGAAATGATGCTTTGTAACAGTCAAAACAGTTATGATCATTGGATGTATTAACATGTACTGTAAGTTAATTATATACTGAACAAAAATAAATGCAACATGCAACAATTTCTAAGATTTTACAGAGTTACAGTTCATATAAGGAAATCAGTCAATTGAAATGAATTAGGCCTAATCTATTGATTTCACATGACTGGGAATACAGAAAAACATCTGTTGGTCACAGATACCTTAAAATGTAGGGGCATTGTTACGAACCCCGTGGCTTTAAAAGTCTAGGGTGGATGGTATAGAGACCCGTAACATAACTCATGCAAATTAGAATAGTGAAAAGGAACAGTGAGAACAAGATACACTGACAACCAATCCTACCGTCAAACACAAAACGTTTATTTTAAACACACGGTAAACGGTTTGGGGAAGGGCTGAGCTGGACCCAAGGAATGAAATAATACAATTTAAAAAAAAAAACTAAACTGATCCTGCCTGCCTCAAGAACCGCTAGCTTGCTACTAGCTATACAAAAATACAGTGGGTGGGAAGCTCAGGTCTAACTAGTGTTTTTGGACAAGGTTTTCCTATGGGTAGTGTTTGCCCAAGGGCGACTTGCTAAAAATCCACTTTTCCCCAGGCACAAAAACAAACAACCTAGGTAAAATAGGGACTAAACAGCAAACGAGTGACTATACAATAGCAAACGAGAAACCACAGTAATCCATGGAACAGGACAAAGTGAGATGTATGGGCTATGCCTATGTGGTGTATGAAGGAACCAAGAAAGTCTGTCTATCAAACAGGTTTGTGTCTGTGTAGACCAGGGTTCTTCAATTCCGGTCCTGGAGGGCCGAACCACCTCTGTTTTTCATCCTCTCCTTCTAATTGTGGTCCTCTGTAGCTCAGCTGGTAGAGCACGGCGCTTGTAACGCCAAGGTAGTGGGTTCGATCCCCGGGACCACCCATACACAAAAATGTATGCACGCACGACTGTAAGTCGCTTTGGATAAAAGCGTCTGCTAAATGGCATATTATTATTAATCGGGCTAATTCAGACCTGGGAGACCAGGTGAGTGCAATTAACTACCAGGTAGAAATAAAATAAAAACAGAAGTGTTTCGGCCCTCCAGGACCGGAATTGAAGAAACCTGGTGTAGACTAATGTGTGAGAAAGCAAAAAAATAGTATTGGTGAGAAACACAACCGACTGGGTTTTTAAACCAGAGGATGTGTGATGTGATTGGGTAATGAAAACCAGAAACAGGTGGTGCAATCGGGAGGAGCGTCCATTGATTGGTCCACCTCAGCAATCAGCAGATGAACTGATGACTGACAGGTGGGACACACCAACGACCACCAATCAGGAACACCTGTGATTAGGGCAGAAGGAGAGGAAAAACACAAATACACATACAGGATACCTGTATCCGTAACAGGCGTGGATCAGAAAACCATCATTATCCACATGAAGCGCGTGTCGTCCCCTTCGCATAGATTGATCAGGCTGTGCATTGTGGAATTTAGTCCCACTCCTCTTCAATGGTTTGCGAAGTTGCTGGATATTGGCGGGAACTGGACACGCTGTCGTACACGTCTATCCCAAACATGCTCAATGGGTGGCATGTCTGGTGAGTATGCAGGCCATGGAAGAACTGGGACATTTTCACCTTCCAGAAATGGTATACAGATCCTTGCGACATGGGGCTGTGCATTATCATGCTGAAACATAAGGTGTTGTGGCGGATGAATGGCCCTCAGGATCTCATCACGGTATCTCTGTGTGTTCAAATTGCGATTGATAAAATGCAATTGTGTTTGTTGTCCGTAGCTTATGCCTGCACATACCATAACCCCACCGCCACCATGGGGCACTGTTCACAACGTTGACGTCAGCAAACCGCTTGCCCACACAATGCCATGCACGTGGTCTACGTGAGGCCAGTTGGAAGTACTGCCAAATTCCCTAAAATGACGTTGGAGGTGGCTTATTGTAGAGAAATTAACATTAAATTATCTGGCAAAAGCTCTGGTGGATATTCCTACTGTCAGCATGCCAACTGCACGCTCCCTCAACCTGAGACATCTGTGGCATTGTGATGTTAAAAAAAAAAAATAATAATTTAGAGTGCCCTTTTTATTGTACCTAGCACAAGGTGCACCTGTGTAATGATCATGCTATTTAATCTGCTTTATATGCCACACCTGTCAGGTGGATGGATTATCTTGGCAAAGGAGAAATGCTCACTAACATGGATGTAAACAAATTTGTGCGAATTGAACATTTCTTCAATCTTTTATTTCAGCTCATGGAACATGGGACCAACACTTTACATGTTGCGTTTATATTTGTGTCGTTTTATTTTCAACAGATGCTCCAGCGGACTTCACTTTCACCGAAGCCAATTATTCCTTGAACAAATGTTCTGTTTTAGCTGGATAGAGCATTAATTTTTTCCCCCCCCAAAAAATGTAATAACACAAAAACATAAGATCCCACATAAGCATGTGTGGGTTGGTCTGGAACCTGTACTTAGAAGATTTAAAAACAAAAAAAATATGTTTTAAGTGAGAATAGGCATTGGTCTGAAGCCGAAAAAGCAAAGTCACATGAGCACCACAATGCCTGTTCCACCCATGCTCAAGCAAAGTTTTCCAGCACACATCTTTGACCTACTACAGTAGTTATGTTGGTATTGTACGTCAAACTATGTGTAGGCAGAGCTTCTCAAACAGCCTAATTCATACTCTTAGAGGAGGTGCTTACACAATATGTGATTTGGACCGCATACAAGGTAAAGTATTGGATTCTCTTCACACACCACAGTAAGACATCACATTACGCTACCATTTCATGCTTTTTTAAATTAAAAGAATGCAAGCTTTGCTTTTATACTTACAAGGCGATCAGGCTTGATTGAGCTGTTTTGTCTTGTAGTAATGTGGTGCGTGCCTGTATTTCCTTAAACCTTTATTTTAGCAAAATATGTAATCAGCTTTTTTCATACAGTGCATTTGGAAAGTATTTAGACCCCTTGACTTTTTCAACATTTTGTTACGTTAGTCTTATTGTAAAATTGATTAAATAAATAAAAAAATCTCATCAATCTACACACTACCCCATAATGACAGAGCAAAAACAGGTTTTTAGAAATGTTAGTACATTTATTACAAATAAAAAATGGATACCTTATTTACGTAAGTATTCAGACCCTTTGCTATGAGACTCGAAATTGAGCTCAGGTGCATCCTGTTTCCATTGATCATCCTTGAGATGTTTCTACAACTTGATTGGAGTCCACCTGTGGTAAATTCAATTGATTGGACATGATTTGGAAAGGCACACACCTGTCTATATAAGGGTCCCACAGATAACAGTTTATGTCAGAGCAGAAACCAAGCCATGAGGTCGAAGGAATTGTCTGTAGAGCTCCGAGACAGGGTTGTGTCTAAGCACAGATCTGGGGAAGGGAAGGGTACCAAAACATTTCTGCAGTATTGAAGGTCCCCAAGAACACAGTGGCCTCCATAATTTTTTAAATGGAAGACGTTTGGAACAACCAAGACTCTTCCCAGAGCTGGCCGCCCGGCCAATCGGGGGAGAAGGGCCTTGGTCGGAGGTGACCAAGAACCCTATGGTCACTCTGACAGAGCTCCAGAGTTCCTCTGTGGAGATGGGAGAACCTTCCAGAAGACAACCATCTCTGTAGCACTCCACCAATCAGGCCTTTATGGTAGAGCGGCCAGACGGAAGCCACTCCTCAGTAAAAGGCACACAAGGGTGCGTGCTCAGCCCCCTCCTGTACTCCCTGTTCACCCATGACTGCGTGGCCAAGCAAGCCTCCAACTCAATCATCAAATTTGAAGACGACACAACAGTAGTAGGCTTGATTACCAACAATGACGAGACCGCCTACAGGGAGGAGGTGAGGGCTCTGGGAGTGTGGTGCCAGGAAAATAACCTCTCACTCAACATCAACAAAACAAAGGAGATGATTGTGGACTTCAGGAAACAGCAGAGGGTGCACCCCCCTATCCACGTCGACGGGACCGCAGTGGAGAAGGTGGAAAGCTTCATGTTCCTTGGCGTACACATCACCGACAAACTGAAATGGTCCACCCACGCAGACAGTGTGGTGAAGAAGGCGCAACAGAGCCTCTTCAACCGCAGGGCTCTCCAGAGGGGGGTGCGGTCTACCAAACGCATTACCGGGGGCAAACTACCCGCCCTCCAAGACACATACAACACCCGATGTCACAGGAAGGCCAAAAAGATCATCAAGGACATCAACCACCCCAGCCACTGCCTGTTCACCCCGCTATCATCCAGAAGGCGAGGTCAGTACAGGTGCATCAAAGCTGGGACCGAGAGAATGAAAAACAGCTTCTATCTCAAGGCCATCAGACTGTTAAATAGCCATCACTAGCACATTAGAGGCTGCTGCTGCCTATTGAAATCACTGGCCACTTTAAGAAATGGAACACTAGTCACTTGAATGTTTACATATCTTGCACTACTCATCTCAGCAGGTATATCTCACTGGTCATTCCCAAAGCCAACACCTCCTTTGGCTGCCATTCCTTCCAGTTCTCTGCTGCCAATGACTGGAACGAATTGCAAAAATCTCTGAAGCTGGAGACTCTTATCTCCCTCACTAACTTTAAGCATCAGTTGTCAGAGCACCTTACCGATCACTGCACCTGTACACAGCCCATCTGAAATTAGCCCACCCAACTACCTCATCCCTATATTGTTATTTATTTTGCTATTTTGCACCCCAGTATCTCTATTTGCACATCATCTCTTGCACATCTAGCATTCCAGTGTCAATACTAATTGTAATTATTTTGCACTATAGCCTATTTATTGCCTTACCTCCATAACTTGCTACATTTGCACACACTGTATATATATTTTCTGTTGTATTTTTTGACTTTGTTTTTTTACCCCATATGTAACTCTGTGTTGTTGTTTTTATCGCACTGCTATGCTTTATCTTGGCCAGGTCGCAGTTGTAAATGAGAACTTGTTCTCAACTGGCTTACCTGGTTAAATAAAGGTGAAATAAAATATACTGCATTCTATTCTATAATATTCTACTGTATCTTAGTCCATGCCGCTCTGTCATTGCTTGTCCATATGTATATATTCTTAAATCCCATTCCTTACCAGTTTTGTGTGTATTGGGTATATGTTGTGAAATTGTTAGATATTACTGCACTGTCGGAGCTAGAAGCACAAGCATTTTGCTACACCCGCTATAACATCTGCTAAACACATGTATGTGACAAATAAAATTTGAAGTCAACGCAGGAGTGGCTTTAGGACAAGTCTCTGAATGTCCTTGAGTGGCCCAGCCAGACCTCGGACTTGAACCCGATCTAACATCACTGGAGAGACCTGAAAATGGCTGTGCAGCAACGCCCCCCCATCCAACCTGACAGCACTTGAGAGGATCTGCAGAGAAGAATGGGAGAAACTCCCCAAATACAGGTGTGCCAAGCTTGTAGCATCATACCCAAGAAGACCCGGCTGTAATCGCTGCCAAAGGTGCTTCAACAAAGTACTGAGTAAAGGGACTATATACTTATGTAAATGTGCTATTTCTGTTTTTTATTTTTAATACATTTACAAAAACTTCTAAACCTGTTTTTGCTTTTTCATTATGGGTTATTGTGTGTAGATTTAACGTAACAAAGTGGAAAAAGTAACGGGGTCTGAATACTTTCCGAATGCACTTTATCAGTTATCCTGTTAGCGCTTTTGTGCCGACTCCACTGCGCTGTTTCAGGTGCAACGTTTATGGTCATGTCGCAGCAGTTTGTAGGGGGGACATTCCAAAATGTGGGAAGTGTGTAGGAGGGCATGGGATAGAGGATTGTGTAGTTTCAGTGGATAAAGTTGTGTTAACTGTAGGGGTGCCCATGTTGCTGGGGATCGGAAATGTCCGGTGGGAGAGAGGCAGGTTGAGGTGGCTAGAGTCAGAGTAGTGCTGAAGGTGTCCTATGCTGAGGTAGAGGAGGATGGGTCAAGGGTGAGGGACCCTGAGAGGAGTAGTAGATCTGTGCCAGCACAGAGGGATAGGCCAATGAGTGATATATGCTTTAGTAAGGCTGGCTTCTTAGCAATGGTTATCAACTATACTGCAGAAATGGAACTTAAATCACAGAAAATAAATGTGGTGGCAGCTGCAGAGAAGTATTTGGATACACAAGATTTGACTTCAGAAGAGTTACAGGGTGTGTTGAGTGGTGATGTCCCGTCCTCCCAGACCGTTGGCATGGTGCAGGACCAGATAGGGTCAAAGTAGTGGAATGGGGTAGTGGGTTTCTAATGAGTGTAGGGTAATTAAAAATATATATTGATTTTATTTGTCCCATTTTTGTATCACAAAGTGTAATGGATTTATACTGTAGTTCAGTTGGGGGCGGTAATGCAACATATTGGATGCCAACCGTTTAACTCCACCGAAGAAGATCATGTGGCGCTCCTGGAGTAGTTGATGGGCTATGGTTAAGTGGCTTGCACACTGGTCTGGAGGTGTTATTTTACCATATTTTCTTCCGCTGTCTGACTCGGCCCTGAATGGTTTTTGTTTGTACTAAAATCAACGTATTTTCTTATTGATTTTATACCAATTTACATATTGATTGCTTGACAAACAAGTATCAGCAGTCCAAAGTCAGCCTACTAATTTGCCTATTCCTTTTTGTACGTTATGTTATGCCGTAGTGGCTGGGCGCTCAAACTCTTGTCAAAGTTTTTTTGAATTTTTTTTAGGATAATTAATTGGACAGTTTCACAAGGACATCAGTAACAAGTAAGTAAACCTATCTTCCTTGTATGAATGCCATGAACTGGCTAGCTTGCATCGACTAATGACGTTAGCTAGATAGTGTATATAACCAAACCCAAAGCCTTTTAACTGTATTTGGCTAGCTAGCTAATCTAGCTAACGTTACTTGACCAAACTTAGCCGCTAGCTAACGTTAGTTTTGCATGCTACTCTTTCCGCACATAAGTAGTCTCAACTAGCTAGCTACCCGGTGGTTAACTAGGTATCTAACTAGTTATTTGTAGCAACTTTGTTGCACATTTTGATACTTTTGAATAGTCAACGTTAGCTAGCTAGCTGTTTAACGTTACCTTTTTAGCTTTGTTGGCTAGCTAGCTAATGTTTTTCTTATGCTCTTTTTGACTAACATAAAGTATACATAGTACTGTAGTTAGCTTAGTAACTAGCTGATAAATGATTAGCTAGCTAACATGCATGCACTTTCTCAGCGTATGTCCATTTAGACTAATTTAACGTTGGTCAATAACCTAAATAACCAGCCAGCTACAGTACCTAGCTACTGAAACGTAATTAGAAGTTTTTTATTTGAAAATTATTTCGCTTACTACTATAACGTTAGCTGGCTAGGTCATTCTAGTTTTTAGGGGTGAAATGTAACGTTAGCTGTTTGTGAAATAATTATGTTGATTTAACATGGGCTTTCTCTCTAGCTGGAGGTTTCTCTCATTGAGAACACTCAGGTTCTTTGTCATATCAGGCTCTGAGCAGAGAAAAGACACCCACTGCGACCTCAAGACTTCTTTGACTTGTAGTTTGTGTGTGTGTTGAGTTCCAGCACTGACAGCTGTCGTTGTCTCTGCAGCCCTTACCATGGAGGAGGTGACGCGCCTGGTATCGTCAGGCGACTGTGTGAAGATCTGGGACTCAGCCTCCATGACAGTGTTGGAACAGTTCAACCCACACAGCGCTACACACCCTGTGGCCCAAGTGTGCTGGAGCAGCAACAGTATCGTTCTTACTAACACTCTGGGCATGTCCCTGTACATATAATGGTTTACTTTTCGTTTTCCTTTTGCTCTGTCATATTCTAGTTGAACTGGAGTGGTGAGCAGTCCCCCACACCTTCATGTAAACTACTTATTGATTAAATAATTCTGGTCCACCTAGTTGTTCTGTGCCATAAATTACTATATGTAGTTGGTTGCCTTGACTTGATTCCTCAGATCAGTATCTTGTAAGCGCCAGCAGTATAGGGGACAAGCTGGTGGTATCCAGTCTCAAGTCCTCTCCTATCCCAGTGGTGGAGCTTGCAGAGGGGGTGAGTGTACGAGGCCTGACAGCCAGGGCCAGTAAAGACGCAATTTCAGTTCCATTCTAATTCATTGCCCTCTCGCATGTTGTGAACGTGTCACATTACTATAATGTTTTTTGTGTCCACAGAAAAAGCAGACCCGCGTGAGTCTGAACTCGACGTCCCAGTACTTAGTGAGCGGGGGGCTTGATAACTCAGTCAACATCTGGGATCTGAAGGCCAAGAGGCTTCATCGCACCCTTAAGGTACCCTCAGTCTTACCAGCACCTGTGACCCTACCCATGAGAACTATGTCCTAGCACTTATCTTTTGATCAAATCTCACCTGAACACCTGGTGCTATGTAACATTGCACTTGATCTTGGGCAAAGCTTGGGTCAGTGTAGAAGACATTTTGGAGTTACCTTTATCACCAACACAATCTACCTCACCTGTGTACCGCCGCTCTCTCACCAGGACCACAAAGAAGAGGTGACGTGCGTGTCCTTTAACGGCAGTGACAGCTACATCGCATCGGGCTCCACCAGTGGTGACATCATCCTGCACAGCATCACCACCAACCTGTCCAGTAAGGCCTTTGGACACGGCACCAACCAGGTGAGTGTTCTGTTGGCCCTGACACAATTAATACTGTAACCAGGCCCTTTTGCTTATAAGGTAAGGCCATTTGAATTCAATCACTTTTTGACAGCATCCCTTTGGATTTAAACAAAACTTTCCATAGATGTTTGCCCATTGAAAAAGTGGTCAGAAAGTAACCTTTTGCCAAAACAGAATTCCAAAACATTCAGGAGATAAAGGTGCTCAAAGTTGACCTATTTTGCATACATTTACATTTACATGTTTAGTCATTTAGCAGACGCTCTTATCCAGAGCGACTTACAGTTAGTGAGTGCATACATTATTTTTTTTTCATACTGGCCCCCCGTGGGAATCGAACCCACAACCCTGGCGTTGCAAACACCATGCTCTACCAACTGAGCTACATCCCTGCTGGCCATTCCCTCCCCTTCCCTGGATGACGCTGGGACAATTGTGCGCCGCCCCATGGGTCTCCCGGTCACGGCCAGCTACGACAGAGCCTGGATTCGAACCAGGATCTCTAGTGGCACAGCTAGCACTGCGATGCAGTGCCTTAGACCACTGCGCCACTCGGGAGATACCATGAGACGTCCATGTCTTTGTCACTGGAAAATATATAAACGGTTGAGTTGATCATTTAAAAGATTAGTGTTGTCAAACTATTTTATTATTTCTTGGGGAAAAAAACATTTAGGAATAAAACATTTAATTTTTTAACCTTTAACGTCGATTATTTTATTAATTTGCATATGTTGTAGCTTAAACCCTATTACACATCTGAGGTTTTTGTGTTGTGCCTGCCATCGGTTGAGACAACATGTTCTTGAAGACAGGGTCTCATGGTATGGTGGGGTATGCAAAATGGGTTAACGTTCAGGTCGAAAAAAAAGTCACTTTCTGAGCGCTTCTACATGGGGCAAATATAAATGGAAGGTTTCGTTAAAATCAGAAGGGGTGCTGTGAAAAAGTGATTGAATTCAAATGGATTTACCCTATACTTATCCAATTCTTACCCCGTCCCTGGATGGTAGGCACTTGGGTTTGTTACTGGTCATCAAATAAATATGTGGCTGAAGGATTAAAGACAATAAAACATTTGGTGACAATTAAGATGCATCATAGGCAGGTCTCAATTTATACTGAACAAAAATCGAAACAAGTGAAGTGTTGGTCCCATGTTTCATGAGCTGAAATTAAAGATCCCATAAATTGTCCATACACACAGAAAGCGTATTTCTCTCAAATGTTGTGAACAAATTTGTTTATATCCCTGTTAGTGAGCATTTCTCCTTTGCCAAGCTAATCCATCGACCTGACGTGTGTGGCATATCAAGAAGCTGATTAAACAGCATGGTCTTTACAGGTGTACCTTGTGCTGGGGACAAAAGGCCACTCTAAAATGTGCAGTTTTGTCACCCAACACAATGCCATAGATGTCTCAAGTTTTGAGGGAGCGTGCAATTGGCATGCTGACTGCAGGAATGTCCACCAGAGCTGTTGCCAGAATTGAACGTTCATTTCTCTACCATAAGCCTCCTCCAACGTCGTTTTAGAGAATTTGGCATACGTTCAATTGGCCTCACAACTGCAGACCGTGTGCAACCACGCCAGCCCAGGACCTCCACATCCAGCTTCTTCACCTGCAGAATCGTCTGAACAGCCACCTGGACAGCTGATGAAACTGGGTTTACACAACCGAATAATAGCTGCACAAACTGTCAGAAACCGTCTCCGGGACGCTCATCTGCGTGCTCGTCGTTCTCACTAGGGTCTTGACCTGACTGTAGTTTGGTGTCGTAACTGACTTCAGGGGGCAAATGCTCACCTTTTGATGGCCACTGGCACGCTGGAAGTGTGCTCTTCACGGATGAATCCCGGTTTCAACTGTACCGGGCAGATGGCAGACAGTGTAGGGTGTATGGCGGCGTGTGGGCGAGCAGTTTGCTGAACAGGGTGCCCCATGGTGGCAGTGGGGTTATGGTATGGGCAGGCGTAAGCTATGGACAACTAACACACTTGCTTTTTATCGACTGCAATTTGAATGCAGAGATTCCGTGAAGAGATCCTGAGGCCCATTGTCGTGCCGTTCATCCGTGCCATCACCTCATGTTTCAGCGTGATAATGCACAGCCCCATGTCGCAAGGATCTGTACACAATCCCTGGAAGCTGAAAATATCCCAGTTCTTCCATGGCCTGCATACTCACCAGACATGCCACCCATTGAGCATGTTTAGGATGCTCTGGATCGACGTGTATGACAGCGTATTCCAGCAACTTCACACAGCCATTGAAGAGGCGTGGGACAACATTCCACAGGCCATGATCAACTCTGCGAAGGAGATGTGTCGCACTACGAGGCAAATGGTGGTCACACCAGATACTGACTGGTTTTCTAATCCAAGCCCCTACCTTTTTTTTTTTGAAGGTATCTTTGACCAACAGATGCATCTCTGTATTCCCAGTCATGTGAAATCCATAGATTAGGGCCTCATTTATTTAAATTGACTGATTTTCCTTATGAACTGTAACTCAAAATCTTTTAAATTGTTGCGTTTTGTTTTCGTTCAGTGTAGATTTATCAATAATGGCTGATGCCGAAAAGGCTTTTGACCATCTTGAACTTTGGAAGCTTTCAACTTACCAGCTGAATTAATACATTTTAATAAAAATATTATATATCCTAAAGCAAAAATATACACTTACATTATCTGATAGGGGCACAAGACAGGGATGTCCTCTCGCCCCTCCTGTTTGCACTGGCAATTGAACCGCTTGCAGAAATAATTAGACACAAACCAAATGTAACAGGTATTGGTAAACATGAATATAAAGTAAACTTTTTTGCCAACGATCTCCTGATATACCTGACCAATATTGAAAGCTCAATGCCCCCCTCGCTAAAAATATTTTCAGAATACTCGTCTCAGGATATAAAAACTACTGAAATAATGGCAATAGGAAAAATAATAATTGATCTACAGCAATCCTTTTAAGTAGACCACAAAAAATATAGTTAGGATGCTTAATAAGTGGCAACAAACAGCAAATGTGCTGTGTACAAAACATTTAAGGACACCTGCTCTTTCCATGACATCAACTGACCAGGTGAATCTAGGTCAGTCACTTGTTAAAGCCACTTCAATTAGTGAAGATGACGGTGAGGACATGGGTTAAATAATGATTTTTAAGCCTTGAGACATGGATTGTGTATGTGTGCTATTGAGGGTGAATGGGCAAGACAAAATATTAAAGTGCCTTTTGAACGGTGTATGGTAGGTAGGTGCTAGTCGCAACGGTTTGTGTCAAGAACTGCAACGCTGCTGGGTTTTTTCACGCTCAACGGTTTCCCATGTGTATCAAGAATGGTCCACCACCCAAAGGACATCCAGTCAACTTGACAACTGTGGGAAGCATTGGAGTCAACATGAGCCAGCGTCCCTGTGGAACACTATCGACACCTTGTAGAGTCCACGCCCCGACGAATTTAGGCTGTTCTGTGGGCAAAAGGGGGGGAGTGCAACTCAATATTAGGAAGGTGTTCTTAATATTTTGTACACTGTTCCATTTAAATAGATCTGCTTTCATATTGTTGAGTATTGGGATAAAGTTATCTTTATACACAATCTTCCCATAAATCTTATAGGTAGAATAAACCTCTTCAGAATGGCAGGCTCCCAAAGTTTTTATATTTATTCTAGGTAATACCAATTACCCCACCGAAGACTTTTTTTAAAGTATACTCGTCCATAAGACTTTATATGGGCCAATAAAACTTAAAGAATCTCCCTAAGTCTGAGGGTGTTTTTAACCTTCCAAACTTGGAATTGTATCAACTTGCCACCCAAGGCTTTTACTTGAGACATGCTGTTAATGCACTAAAGAGGAACAATGGGTACATATTGAAGATGTGTATGCTCACCTACAATCTATTCATGTGTGTTTTCAAAGGATAAAGCATTAATAACTTTATAGTTAAGAACTGAAACCGATTCTATAAGAACCAATATTACTTCCAAAAAACCCTATGAACAATCCTTGGATACCTTTTCAGAATGCACCAATCAATTGGCCCACATGGGAAACTAAAGGCATAGAAACCTTAAATTACTTGGTAATAGGAAATAAATATATTTCCATGATAGGATTAAAAAGCAATTTTGCACTGAACAATGTAGATATTTTCAAATGCATGCAACTTGCATGAAACCTTTAACGAAATTTCTATTTGAAATCTTGAGAGAATCCTATTTGAGTCAAAAGGATATTCATATGATGGGTAAGATATACAAAACCTTGCCTATCCAACTGACAACCGCTTAGAAAAAAATATTAACTAATGGTACCAAGACTTAAAAATAACTGATATTGGATGGAGGGAATGTTGGAACATGACAAATGTATGCTGAAACCAACATAAACTAATGTATAGAATTAACTTTTAATCCGTCTGCATATGTCAAGACATGTCATATGAGGGTGCAGTGCGTTACCAGATGGGGTGTATATACTGGAAATCAACCAATCCTCAATCGTTAAGACAATGGAAAAATAATATGCTTCATTATCAAAATATTGAAAGAGCGTGGGCGACTGATGGGAACAAAATGGTGAAACTTGAGGAAATGTGGCGGAGAGTAGTGCAGGCACTGGAGATAAGGGGTGAGAACAAGTGGGTCTTGTTGTTTGTGCATGTCTGTATGTTGTCTTGTGTGTGTGGATTGTTTTTGAAAAAGAAGAGAACATTACATTTAAGAATAAGCCGCCTCTTTGCAGCCATAGGTAATATCTCACTAGGAGCTGATCCATCAGTATTGTGGAATAATTATGTTAAAGGGAAATGTTTCAACGTCATATTAATCTCCAGCACCACCCCAACATCAACATATGAAAAATTGTCTTTCTATGTTTTATAGTACGAAAAGAGCGTAAGATAAGCGTTTCCAATGACAACATTGGTGTGCGTCGTGATTTTGCCTAATAATTGGTTGATGTCATTGCAAATGCTTATCTTCCTATATTTTTACTACAAAACATAGAAACACGCTATTTTCACATACACTGTATATACAAAAGTATGTGGACACTCCTTCAAATTAGTGGATTCGGCTGTATAAAATTGAATACACAGCCATGCAATCTCCATAGACAAACATTGGCAGTAGAATGGCCTTACTGAAGAGCTCAGTGACTTTCAACGTGACACCGTCATAGGATGCCACCTTTCCAACAAGCCATTTTGTCAACTTTCTGCCCTGCTAGAGCTGCCCCGGTCAACTTTTTAAGTGCTGTTATTGTGAAGTGGAAATGTCTAGGAGCAACAACAGCTCAGCCGCAAAGTGGTAGGCCACACAAGCTCACAGAACGGGACCACCAAGTGCTGAAGCGTGTAGCGCATAAAAATCATCTGTCCTCGGTTGCAACACTCACTACCGAGTTCCAAACTGCGTCTGGAAGCAACGTCAGCACAATAACTGTTCGTCGGGAGCTTCATGAAATGGGTTTCCATGGCCGAGCAGCCATGGAAACCCTAAGATACGCAATGCCTAAGATACGCAATGCTAAGCGTTGGCTGGAGGGGTGTAAAGCTTGCTGCCATTGGTCTCTGGAGCAGTGGAAACGCGTTATCTGGAGTGAATCACGCTTCACCATCTGGCCGTATGACTGAGGAATCTGGGTTTGGCAATGCCAGGGGAAAGCTACCTGCCCCAATGCAAAGTGCCAACTGTAAAGTTTGGAGGAGGAATAATGGTCTGGGGCTGTTTTTCATGGGTCGGGTTAAGCCCCTTAGTTCCAGTGACGGGAAATCTTAACACTACAGCATACAATGACATTGTAGACGATTCTGTGCTTCCAACTTTGTGGCAACAGTTTGGGGAAGGCCCTTTCCTGTTTCAGCATGGCAATGCCCCTGTGCACAAAGCGAGGTCTATACAGAAATGGTTTGTTGATCGGTGTAGAAGAACTTGACTGGCCTGCACAGAGCCCTGACCTCAACCCCATCGAACACCTTTGGGATGAATTGGAACACCGACTGCGAGCCAGGTCTAATCGCCCAACATCAGTGCCCGACCTCACTAATGGGTTTGTGGCTGAATGGAACCAAGTCCCCGCATCAATGTTTCAACATCTAGTGGAAAGCCTTCCCAGAAGAGTGGAGGCTGTTGTAGCAGCAAACGGGGGACCAACTCCATATTAAAGCCCATCACTTTGGAATGAGATGTTCGACGAGCAGGTGTCCACATGTAGTTTGTTGGTGTGGTGCTGGAGATTAATATACATTTAGAAAATTATGAAATGTCCCTTTTTTTTAAGGTAAGATTTGAATGGAGAAAGCAGATCCGAGAGCAGCACTGCTGTTCTTTTGATCCTATCAGTATCGACACTATCCTCTTTTAGAATCTGAGAGTGAAATACTTACACGCTCATCTCTAACATGTAGGCTCAGCATTCCCGAACAGTCCCATTTAAAAGTCAGAATGTTGAACAAACTTTGTTTCAACTTATGGCCAAAATCGGCAGACAAAAGTATGTCGGAGGGAATCTTAGTCAAAATATCGACAGGGAAGTGTTGTCAACCCGACCTTCAGTACGCTGGTCTGTAATCGGTTTGTTTTTCCGGGTTTGTATTTTCAATACTGACGCAACTCGCACGTGATAAACATTTGCACAATATGGCCTAGCCGAACCACAGACCGAACGTCGTCCCACGCAATCAGCTGGCAAATTTCACAAATACTTCCAGCTGATTGCAGGAAACGTGCTTTGGTCGACTACGTTCGGTTACATTCGGCTATTGTGCATCCCATACAATGTGTCAGGAGATTGAAAACACAAGAGACAGAACCTACTGGCGCCGCAAAAAGTCGAGTAAACAATGCTTTCCTGTGGATACCCCATCTCCTCTTCCTATCGTCAAAAGGACCAACAGCACAGACAACGGTAAAGTAAGTGTAAAATACCATTTTATTCAACATTTTGGCTTGTAGAGACCCTTACGACTTTTTTCAGACTGAATATCAATGGTGTAACCATGGTAAGTCTGATGTTTAGGCGATATCGTCACATGCCTCAACGACTCACTGCGTGGTGTTTTGGGGAATATGTTACATCTTTGGCCGTTGTAGGAAATATGTATTGTTAAAACACTTACAGGCCTAAGTTCCATCGCTATCGGTAAATCGGGCCCAGGTTGTTAGTTAGCTAGCTAATGAGGTTACATGACTGAATAAGGTGTAAGCAAATGCCCACGAGTGGTTTTGGAACCGCCCGCGAAATGGTTAATGAATGTATAGCCAATTCACGACAGAAAAAAACAACATTGCGGCAGTAATGTGGGTCATATCTTCTATCTCTACAAAGTCCCACAGGGGGCCAGTATGAAAATGTATGCACTCACTAACTAAGTCGCTCTGGATAAGAGCGTCTGCTAAATTACAAAAAATATAAAAAATAAACAGTGCTACAGTGAAGCCTAATCATTAAAACAAATATATGTGATTATCTTTCTAGGCTCCTGGTGCTCCCAAAATAAAATGTCAGGTTGCAGCAAAATATTTAAGAGCATACAGTCATGGCCAAAATTGTTGGCACCCCTGAAATTTTTCCAGAAAATGAAGTATTTCTCACAGAAAAGTATTGAAATTACACATGTTTTGCTATGCACATGTTTATTTCCTTTGTGTGTATTGGAATAACACAAAAAAAACAGGAAAAAAGCAAATTTGACATAATTTCACACAAAACTCAAAAAATGGGCCGGACAAAATGATTGGCACCCTTAACTTAATATTTAGTTGCACACCCTTTGGAAAAAATAACTGAAATCAGTCGCTTCCTATAACCATCAATAAGCTTCTTACACCTCTCACCCGGAATTTTGGACCACTCTTCTTTTGCAAACTGCTCCAGGTCTCTCATATTGGATGGGTGCCTTTTCCCAACAGCAATTTTAAGATCTCTCCACAGGTGTTCAATGGGATTAAGATCTGGACTCATTGCTGGCCACTTCAGAACTCTCCAGCGCTTTGTTGCCATCCATTTCTGGGTGCTTTTTGAAGTATGTTTGGGGTCATTGTCCTGCTGGAAGACCCATGATCTCGGACGCAAACCCAGCTTTCTGACACTGGGCCCTACATTGCGACCCAAAATCCTTTGGTAATCCTCAGATTTCATGATGCCTTGCACACAGTCAAGGCACCCAGTGCCAGAGGCAGCAAAACAACCCCAAAACATCTTTGAACCTCCACCATATTTGACTGTAGGTACTGTGTTCTTTTCTTTGAAGGCTTCATTACATTTTTGGTAAACAGTAGAACGATGTGCTTTACCAAAAAGCTCTATCTTGGTCTCATCTGTCCATAAGACGTTCTCCCAGAAGGAATTTGGCTTACTCATGTACATTTTGGCAAACTGTAGTCTTGCTTTTTTATGTCTCTGTGTCAGCAGTGGGGTCCTCCTGGGTCTCCTGCCATAGCGTTTCATTTCATTCAAATTTCGACGTATAGTTCGCGCTGACACTGATGCACCCTGAGCCTGCAGGACAGCTTGAATTTCTTTGGAACTTGTTTGGGGCTGCTTATCCACCATCCGGACTATCCTGCGTTGCAACCTTTCATCAATTTTTCTCTTCCGTCCACGTCCAGGGAGATTAGCTACAGTGCCATGGGTTGCAAACTTCTTGATCATGTTGCGCACTGTGGACAAAGGAACATCTAGATCTCTGGAGATGGACTTGTAACCTTGAGATTGTTGATATTTTTCCACAATTTTGGTTCTCAAGTCCTCAGACAGTTCTCTTTTCCTCTTTCTGTTCTCCATGCTTAGTGTGGCACACACAGAAACACAATGCAAAGACTGAGTCAACTTCTCTCCTTTTTATCTGCTTTCAGGTGTGATTTTTAGATTGCCCACACCTGTTACTTGCCCCAGGTGAGTTTAAAGGAGCATCACATGCTTGGAACAAACTTATTTATCCACAATTTTGAAAGGGTGCCAATAACTTTGTCCGGCCCATTTTTTTAGTTTTGTGTGAAATTATGTCAAATTTGCTTTTTTCCTGTTTTTTTTGTGTTATTCCAATACACACAAAGGAAATAAACATGTGCATAGCAAAACATGTGTAATTTCAATACTTTTCTGTGAGAAATACTTCATTTTCTGGAAAAATTTCAGGGGTGCCAACAATTTTGGCCATGACTGTATATGACCGAAATGGTCACACTTTAGAGCCCTGATCATAGGTCTAAAATAACACTGTTCCTCCCACCTCAGCCCATCCACGACCTGAAGTACTCTGTGGTGAAGCGCTCCCTGCTGGGCAGTGTGTCAGATAGTGGCTCAGTGGTCCTGTGGGACGCCAATACTCAGAAGGAGCTGCATGTGTTTGATGGAGCCCACAAGGCCCCCGCCTCGGGCCTGGCCTTCTCCCCAGCCAACGACCTGCTCTTTGTCACTGTGGGCCTGGACAAGAAGATCATCTGCTACGACACCTCCAGCAAGATGTAAGAGCTTGGGATTTAATATTGACCACACAAGTATAGAGACATACTGTATGACTGAGAGAAAGCCTGTTACCTTGGGGTGTTTTTGTGCAAGCTTTGTTGTTGCAATTTTTTTTGGTCAAACACATTCACATTTGAAATTACCTTGTATTTTTTCAATGATGCGGTCCTTTACTAGTAATTAGTTCTTTAACAGCGCAAAGGGACTTCAGAGCTGTCTCTTTTGCTTTAATGTAGTCTTGACATTTTGTCTGTGTGCTCGTTCTCTCTCGCAGTGTTCTCCGCAGCATGCGTGTGGAGTCCCCATTGACGGCCATTGACTTCACTCCAGATGGGGCAGGCCTGGTAGTGGGCTCCACCCAGGGCAGACTGTATCTGTATGACCTGCGCAACCTCAGCGCCCCCACCAAGACTGCCACCGCACACAAGACCTCCATCACCAGCCTGCGCTTCCAGAGCTCCCAGAGCAGACACCTCAAGGTAGGCTACACACCACAGCGCCAATTCAATTCATAGTCCTTTTCAAGGTTTGAAAATATGAGTTACTTTTCAATCCCTCAATTGGAATTTCCTGAACTGGGTTCAGAGGAAATTTTAGTTCGGGACCACTGGTGTGCTGTGACAGAGACAATGGTTTTGAGATTTTGGGATGCCATTTGTCTGCACTAGGGGGCGTGCCAAGACCGTGTGAGTTTTCTTTGGTCTGTTGTGCATATTGTACGGAACCAACTCTTTTTACCTTTCCTGAATTCATGTAAATGAGTTGACACTTATTGTGATACAAATGCTGTTGAGTTGACAGTGTCCTACTTCACTTGATAGGAAATGTTGTCCCCTTTCGTCATTACAGTAAGCATTTTCCCAGCGTGATGCACCTTGCCAGTTCAGTGTTTCTCTTGACAGCATGTGCTGTAAGCCCTGTATTGTGTGGCTATGGGCTGGGCTCCTGACTAATAAAGAACCAGATGCTTCTAAAATCTTAAATCCTGTGCTCAATAGGGACAGTGTTGAAGCTCGTAGGTATTTAACTGGCATGTGTTACCTGAGATCAATTAAACCTAGCCTTTTCAAGCTAACCATGTCCCTTTTTTCCCCCCCATTAGTCCAGTAAAATGGCGTCCAGCAAGTCTTCCAGCGCTCACACAAGCAAGAGGATCTCAGCCAGGCTGGGTAATACCTACCTACCAGCAGTTACCCCCAGCTCCACCTCTACACCCCCCTCTAGCCTGCCTGCACCCCACACGGGAGATGGAGGGGATGGACAGGCCCAGGGCACAGGTCAGACTCGCTCTAGTACCTCAAATATACTCCTGGCCAACATCCTGACCTGAAACACCACCCCATTTCCAATTCATGGTCTAGACCAGGGGTACCCAAATCTGAGCCTGGAGGTCCAGAGAGCTCATTGTCATTCTGTGTGTGTGCAGGCTCCAGTGTGGAAGTGGTCTCCAGAGAGGCGGAGGGCCAGCCGGGTGCTGACCGCCTGCCCAGTCTGGACAAGTTCAGTAGCGTGGGTAGAAACAGCCTGGACATCTTCTCCCCCGTAAGAGACGGTGAGCTCCCCACTCATCTTTGACTCTTCAATTTAGTTTAAACTCACCGGTATTACGTTTGGATTTGGTCATCAGTCTCTCTCTCGTCTCTTTCCCTTGTAAACGGACAGCTTTTTTTTGTTTTTTTTTGTCTTTAGATTACAAAGCCCATGGGATGGGTGGTGATGCTCCTGGTGGAATGAAAGGGAATGGTAGGTGGAAAAAGCCATATGTCCTCTTTTACAGTTCAAGTTCTCATTGAAAGTTCATGAGCACCCTGCACCGCTAACCATTAGTTGAAGATGTCTTTTTTAATTAACCCTCTGTTATACACCTGACGCAACTAATCAAGAGCTTGGTGAGTAGTTAAATCAGGTGTGTTAGTGCTGGGATAGAACAAAAATGTGCACCACTGGTTTACCCAGGAATGGATTGAGAAACACTGCTATAAACATTCAATGAAGTTCACTGTCCCCTGTACATCATCTATACTTGTGTACATGATTGAGACCACATTTGTGGCTTTTTGTATGTACCATAGGGCCCAGTTTGGATATGTTCTCCAGAGAAGGAGAAGGGCAGAACAGCACGGAGAAGTTCAGCAAAGTGGGACGCAACAGTCTGGACATTTTTTCTCCTGTCAGAGAAGGTGAGATTCCATTTGTGTGTCCCTTGACATTCAAAGTTCACATTGGTCTGCACAGCTTCACAAACCCGCAAACTTTTCCAAACTCATTAAATGTAATGTACAAATTGACCATTGATTCACTCATTCTTTCCAGATTACAAAACCCATGGAATGACAGCAGATGTAACAAGTGGGACGAAAGGAAACGATCTGGACTTCCTCCCTTCCTACTCTGGTGGACCCCCACACCGCAAGACTCCCCTGGGCACCCCTGGAGGAGGGCGATGTTACAGCCCCCTGTCTGTCTTCCAGACCCCTCAACCAATCAAAGAGGAGGAGGCCGAGCCATCAGTGCAGACAGACACACGGGACTCGAGAAGGGTCAGTCTACCTTATTCAATCAGCTGTTGGACAATTTGGAATGCTGACTTAGACCATTTTTAACCATGAGTATTCCATTCTGGTCCTGGGGTCTTCCCAGACCAAAATGATCAGACCTGATACAAATACTCAAGGATTTTCATTACTTGAATCAAATGTGAGTGTTGGGCTGGATCAAACCGGAAATTAAACCCCTTATTGAGTCAGTCTGGTTTTCCTGTCAAAATGTTCAAGCTGCTCTTCACGTGTTGTCTGTTCAATTGACAGTATGAGAAGGGTGGTGGTTCCAGTCTGGAGGGTGAAGGCCCCACCCCACCCACTTCATCAGCCCAGACCTCGCACAGCCAACCAGCACCGCTGTTCTTCACCCCTGAACCAGGCCTGAGGAGGGCCAATGACATGCAGGCCCAACTGCGCTACAACACACCCCTAAATGGTGGTCCATCCACTACTGCACCAGGTGAGTTTGTGGTAGTTTTTTCTGTGTGGGTAACAGCTGTAGATAATGTCAAATCAATGAATATTTTTATGATGCATGCATAACTATTTAAATTGTGTATGGCTACTGTGTATTTGTATGCCAGAGCATGTGAGAGATTATGTAAGCACAACAGTACATTAACAGTGTGTGGTAGTGTTAAGTTGATGAAATCAGTGGAAAATACCCTGTGTCAGCAGGCCCTGCAGTGTCTTCTGCGGTAGCATCCTCTCTATCAGAGAGAATAGTGGAGACTGTTGGAGCAGAGGGTGGAGGCGCTCCCCTCACATCCCTGCAGATCCATTTCATCCGCAACATGATCCATGAGACCCTGGAAGACTTCAGGTGTTGCACATTCTCACAGCAGATCACCCTCAAAGTTGCTGAACCGTCGTGCGTATCTCTGGTCACTAGTTTTGTAGATTCTTGGCTAACCTAATTTCCTCCACAGGGACGCCTGCCACCGAGACGTAGTGAACCTCCAGGTGGAGATGGTCAAACAGTTCTACATTCAGCTGGTATGTGACATGTCCCTCTGGTCCTACTCCATTTGTACACTGTGACACACTGGCCACTACACACCACACACTATTTTGAGTCCAAGACAAAGCACTAGCTAAACCAGTCTGCATGGTCGTTCCAGTTCCCTAACCTACCTACCTCTTGGTTCCTTGCTGCGTTTCAGAACGAGATCCATGGTCTGATCGAGAAGTACTCGGTCAACGACTCGCTGGTGGAGGAGATCGAGAAGCTGAGGGAGGAGAACAAACGACTCCGAGCCAATTACTGAGAGATTGACTTGATGGATTTACCACCTCATCACCCCTAGAAACAGTTGTCCCCTCTCAACTCAGAAAGTATTCCACAGAGCTTTAGGTCTCTGTGGGACAATCGTGCCACAGACAAAGCCTTTTTTTGTGTCCTGGTTTAACCCCTTCCATCTCTTCCCATGGCATGCAGGGACCATTTTCTATTCTCACCAGTTCACATTTTTTGTACATCTCAAACTTGGCAAGGGTCTTGGAATGAATTAACTCTTAAGTGCCTTACTGGTAGTTAACCAAGGGTTGACCAGTATGTTCTATGCAAAGTGTGCTATCAGTCACAGGGTTGCATTGGTCATACAAATCATCTGTGACTGTGGTTATCATTGCTGGACTGGCCCCGGTGAGGGCATGGCACAATTTTAGCCAAATTCCAAACCATTCTCTCCTTGCATTAGGTCCTTGTTTAAAGAGAGGTCAACAAGGACCCAGGGATAGGAAGATGCATTACCTTGCGCTTAAATACACCACTAATATTGAGTTGCAATATTTAACAAGTGACATCAATAAGGGATTATAGCTTTCACCTGGACAGTCTGTCATGGAAAGAGCAGGTGTTCTTAATGTTTTGTATGCCCGGTATACATCTCTCTTCAGCATAGTATGGTTGAAGTTGATAGTATCTTTGGCTTTTACTAGCACACTGAAACAAAATATTAGGGCATACCTTTGATGAAAGACAATCATGATACTGTCTTTGTGGACTAGGCAAGAAAATGCCATATTGGTCATCATTTTCTAACAGTAAGCAAAGTGGTGCCAAGCGCCCTCTATGAAGTGTGCTTGCGCTGCAAAGTTTGCCCATCAGTTATTTGTTTCTTTTGTTGTTTTGTGAAGAGGAATATAAATACTAGTTGTGTACAATCTGTTAATGTAATTCATTCTGGTTTGTGACTGTTTAGTTTGCACCATGAATGGTTCCATAGAGACAGCATGTTAACATTCTTTAATTTAACAATGAAATAGCTGCAACACTTGCAAAATAGGAATAAAGAGGCAAAGTACTAAGATGTATTTTCTCAATGTTAACATCTCTCCCATATACTATTGATAAAAACTAACATCTGATGCTTGGCAAATAAAGCCCAAATACTTCCTAATGGAAAAACCAGATCAGGCTGCATGGTCACATCGTCAAAATGGAGTAAAATCTGCAATAGGATGAGCACTGACAGACATAGCGTGTGTGTTAGGACTCAAAGTTAATCTCTTCCCCACATTAGTCCCAATTTAGGGATAGTGGATAGGGACCCTGCCAGAAGTTGTGTGTAGACCAACTGGCTCCTCCCTCCTCTTGGAGGAACTCTGTTGTTGGGTCCTGGACCTCAGGCCTTTATTTCAGGTGTAGCTGGGTAGGAGACATCACAGTTGTCTGAGATCAGCTCCTCTGTGAACCAACAAATAATTCTAATCAGTATTTTTTTTACTTAATTTTTATTAGAAAACAAATTAGTCTAAATGCTAGCTACTTCATATTTCTGGAATGACATCCAATTGAAATGGACCACAGGGACAGATTTATTGTCTGCCCCCCCTCACCTGGCAGCACGCATTTCCACAGGCCGTAGGTTTTACCCACGGCTGTCTGCCACAGGCGGAGTGTTCCATCCTCTGAGCCGCTGGCATAGAGCTCCCCGTCTGGACTAAAGTGAACACAATGGACCGGCCCAAAGTGGCCCTTATATGACTCTACACAAAGGAGAGAGATGGAAGATTCCATTGAAGTTTTTCTCAAGGTGAGACGCTTGACTTCAAAGACATTGATTCATATGAACATTTTAACTAGTCACAATGAGTGGGTGTATATATACACACATACTGAACAAAAATATAAATGCAACAAAGACTTTACTGAGTTACAGTTCATATAAGGAAATCAATCAATTAAAAAAATGTGTTAGGCCCTAATCTATGGATTTCACATGACTGGGAATTAAGATATTTTAAAACGGTAGGGGGGGTTGATCAGAAAACAAGCCAGTATCTGGTGTGACCACCATTTGCCTCATGCAGCGCAATATATATATATATATATGTACAGTGAGGAAAAAAAGTATTTGATCCCCTGCTGATTTTGTACATTTGCCCACTGACAAAGAAATGATCAGTCTATCATTTTAATGGTAGGTTTATTTGAACAGTGAGAGAGAATAACAACAAAATCCAGATAAATTCATGTCAAAAATGTTATAAATTGATTTGCATTTTAATGAGGGAAATAAGTATTTGACCCCCTCTCAATCAGAAAGATTTCTGGCTCCCAGGTGTCTTTTATACATGTAACGAGCTGAGATTAGGAGCACACTCTTAAAGGGAGTGCTCCTAATCTCAATTTGTTACCTGTATAAAAGACACCTGTCCACAGAAGCAATCAATCAGATTCCAAGCTCTCCAAGGATGTCAGGGACAAGAGTGTAGACCTACACAAGGCTGGAATGGGCTACAAGACCATCGCCAAGCAGCTTGGTGAGAAGTTGACAACCGTTGGTGCGATTATTCGCAAATGGAAGAAACACAAAAGACCTGTCAATCTCCCTCGGCCTAGGGCTCCATGCAAGATCTCACCTTGTGGAGTTGCAATGATCATGAGAACGGTGAGGAATCAGCCCAGAACTACACGGGAGGATCTTGTCAATGATCTCAAGGCAGCTGGGACCATAGTCACCAAGAAAACAATTGGTAACACACTACGCCATGAAGGACTGAAATCCTGCAGCGCCCGCAAGTCCCCCTGCTCAAGAAAGCACATATACAGGCCCATCTGAAGTTTGCCAATGAACATCTGAATGATTCAGAGGAGAACTGGGTGAAAGTGTTGTGGTCAGATGAAACCAAAATCAAGCTCTTTGGCATCAACTCAACTCGCCTTGTTTGGAGGAGGAGGAATGCTGCCTATGACCCCAAGAACACCATCCCCACCTTCAAACATGGAGGTGGAAACATTATGCTTTGGGGGGTGTTTTTCTGCAAAGGGGACAGGACAACTTCACTGCATCAAAGGGACGATGGACGGGGCCATGTACTGTACCCTCAGCCAGGGCATTGAAAATGGGTCGTGGATGGATATTCCAGCATGACAATGACCCAAAACACATGGCCAAGGAGTGGCTCAAGAAGAAGCACATTAAGGTCCTGGAGTGGCCTAGCCAGTCTCCAGACCTTAATCCCATAGAAAATCTGTGGAGGGAGCTGAAGGTTCGAGTTGCCAAACGTCAGGCTCAAAACCTTAATGACTTGGAGAAGATCTGAAAAGAGGAGTGGGACAAAATCCCTCCTGAGATGTGTGCAAACCTGGTGGCCAACTACAAAAACGTCTGACCTCTGATTGCCAACAAGTACTAAGTCATGTTTTGCAGAGGGGTCAAATACTTATTTCCCTTATTAAAATGCAAATCAATTTATATCATTTTTTACATGCATTTTTCTGGATTTTGTTGTTGTTATTCTGTCTCTCACTGTTCAAATAAACCTACCATTAAAATTATAGACTGATCATGTCTTTGTCAGTGGGCAAACGTACAAAATCAGCAGGGGATCAAATACTTTTTTCCCCTCACTGTATATGTGAATATACACTACCAGTCAAAAGTTGACACCTACTCGTTCAAGGGTTTTACTTTATTTTTACTATTTTTTACATTGTAGAATAAGTGATAACAAACTATGAAATAACACATGGAATCATGTAACCAAAAAAGGGTTAAACAAATAAATCTTATATTTGAGATTCTTCAAAATAGCCACCCTTTGCCTTGACAGCTTTGCACACTCTTGGCATTCTCTCAACCAGCTTCATGAGGTAGTCACCTGGAATGCACTTCAATTAACAGGTATGCCTTCTTAAAAGTTAATTTGTGGAATTTCTTTCCTTAATGCGTTTGAGCCAATCAGTTGTGTTGTGACAAGGTACAGTGGCTTGCGAAAGTATTCACCCCCCTTGGCATTTTTCCTATTTTGTTGCCTTACAACCTGGAATTAAAATGGATTTTTTGGGGGGTTTGTATCATTTCATTTACACAACATGCCTACCACTTTGAAGATGCAAAATATTTTTTCTTGTGAAACATACAAGAAATAAGACAAAAAAACTGAACTTGAGCGTGCATAACTATTCAACCCCCCCCAAAGTCAATACTTTGTAGAGCCACCTTTTGCAGCAATTACAGCTGCAAGTCTCTTGGGGTATGTCTCTATAAGCTTGGCACATCTAGCCACTGGGATTTTTGCTCATTCTTCAAGGCAAAACTGCTCCAGCTCCTTCAAGTTGGATGGGTTCCGCTGGTGTACAGCAATCTTTAAGTCATACCACAGATTCTCAATTGGATTGAGGTCTGGGCTTTGACTAGGCCATTCCAAGAAATGTAATGTTTCCCTTTAAACCACTCGAGTGTTGCTTTAGCAGTATGCTTAGGGTCATTGTCCTGCTGGAAGCTGAACCTCCATCCCAGTCTCAAAACAGGTTTCCCTCAAGAATTACCCTGTATTTAGTGCCATCCATCATTCCTTCAATTCTGACCAGTTTCCCAGTCCCTGCCGATTGAAAAACATCCCCACAGCATGATGCTGCCACCACGCTTCACTGTGGGGATGGTGTTTTCAGGGGTGATGAGAGGTGTTGGGTTTGCGCCAGACATAGTGTTTTTCTTGATGGCCAAAAAGCTCAATTTTAGTCTCATCTGACCAGAGTACCTTCTTCCATATGTTTGGGGAGTCTCCCACATGCCTTTTGGCGAACACCAAACGTGTTTGGTAATTTTTTTTCTTTAAGCAATGGCTTTTTTCTGGCCACTCTTCCGTAAAGCCCAGCTCTGTGGAGTGTACGGCTTAAAGTGGTCCTATGGACAGATACTCCAATCTCTCCTGTGGAGCTTTGCAGCTCCTTCAGGGTTATCTTTGGTCTCTGTTGCCTCTCTGATTAATGCTCTCCTTGCCTGGTCCATGTGTTTTGGTGGGCGGCCCTCTCTTGGCAGGTTTGTTGTGGTGCCATATTCTTTCCATTTTTTAAATAATGGATTTAAATGGTGCTCCGTGGGATGTTCAAAGTTTTGGATATTTTTTTATAACCCAACCCTGATCTGTACTTCTCCACAACTTTGTCCCTGACCTGTTTGGAGAGCTCCTTGGTCTTCATGGTACCCCTTGCTTAGTGGTGTTGCAGACTCTGGGGCCTTTCAGAACAGGTGTATACATACTGAGATCGTGTGACAGATCATGTGACACTTAGATTGCACACAGGTGGACTTTAACTAATTATGTGACTTCTGAAGGTAATTGGTTGCACCAGATCTTATTTAGGGGCTTCATAGCAAAGGGGGGTGAATACGTATGCACGCACCACTTTTACCCCAAGAGACTTGCAGCACAAGTAATTTTTTTCATTTCACTTCACCAATTTGGACTATTTTGTGTACAGTGAGGGGGAAAAAAAAGTATTTGATCCCCTGCTGATTTTGTACGTTTGCCCACTGACAAAGACATGATCAGTCTATAATTTTAAATGGTAGGGTTATTTGAACAGTGAGAGACAGAATAACAACAAAAAAATCCAGAAGAACGCATGTAAAAAAATAAATAAATTGATTTGCATTTTAATGAGGGAAATAAGTGTTTGACCCCTCTGCAAAACATGACTTAGTACTTGGTGGCAAAACCCTTGTTGGCAATCACAGAGGTCAGACATTTCTTGTAGTTGGCCACCAGGTTTGCACACATCTCAGGAGGGATTTTGTTCAACTCCTCTTTGCAGATCTTCTCCAAGTCATTAAGGTTGAGGCAACTCAAACCTTCAGCTCCCTCCACATATTTTCTATGGGATTAAGGTCTGGAGACTGGCTAGGCCACTCCAGGACCTTACTGTGCTTCTTCTTGAGCCACTCTTTTGTTGCCTTGGCTGTGTGTTTTGGGTCATTGTCATGCTGGAATACCCATCCACGACCCATTTTCAATGCCCTGGCTGAGGGAAGGAGGTTCTCACCCAAGATTTGACGGTACATGGCCCCGTCCATCGTCCCTTTGATGCAGTGAAGTTGTCCTGTCCCCTTGGCAGAAAAACACCCCTAAAGCATAATGTTTCCACCTCCATGTTTGACGGTGGGGATGGTGTTCTTGGGGTCATAGGCAGCATTCCTCCTCTTCCAAACACAGCGAGTTGAGTTGATACCAAAGAGCTCGATTTTGGTCTCATCTGACCACCACTTTCACCCAGTTCTCCTCTGAATCATTCAGATGTTCATTGGCAAACTTCAGACGGCCCTGTATATGGGCTTTCTTGAGCAGGGGGACCTTGCGGGCGCTGCAGGATTTCAGTCCTTCACGGCATAGTGTGTTACCAATTGTTTTCTTGGGGACTATGGTCCCAGCTGCCTTGAGATCAATGACAAGATCCTCCCATGTAGTTCTGGGCTGATTCCTCACCGTTCTCATGATCATTGCAACTCCACGAGGTGAGATCTTGCATGGAGCCCCAGGCCGAGGGAGATTGACAGTTATTTTGCGTTTCTTCCATTTGCGAATAATCGTACCAACTGTTGTCACCTTCTCACCAAGCTGCTTGGCGATGGTCTTGTAGCCCATTCCAGCCTTGTGTAGGTCTACAATCTTGTCCCTGACATCCTTGGAGAGCTCTTTGGCCTTGGCCATGGTGGAGAGTTTGGAATCTGAATAATTGATTGCTTCTGTGGACAGGTGTCTTTTATACAGGTAACAAACTGAGATTAGGAGCACTCCCTTTATGAGTGTGCTCCTAATCTCAGCTTGTATAAAAGACACCTGGGAGCCAGAAATCTTTCTAATTGAGAGGGGGTCAAATACTTATAAATTGATTTGCATTTTAATGAGGGAAATAACATTTTGACGTGTTTTTCTGGATTTTTTTGTTGTTATTCTGTCTCTCACTGTTCAAATAAACCTACCATTAAAATTATAGACGGATCATTTCTTTGTCAGTGGGCAAACGTACAAAATCAGCAGGGGATCAAATACTTTTTTCCCCCCTCACTGTATACATACATATATACACACACTAACACCTTAATATCCCCCTCTTGCTTTCAGAACAGCCTCAATTTGTCGGGGCGTGGACTCTACAAGGTGTTGAAAGCGTTCTACAGGGATACTGGCCAATGTTGACTAATGCTTCCCACAGTTGTCAAGTTGGCTGGATGTCCTTTGGGTGGTGGACCATTCTTGATACACATGGGAAACTTGAGCATGAAAAACCCAGCAGCATTGCAGTTCTTGACACAACCGTTGCGCCTTGCACCTACTTCCATACCCCGTTCGAAGGCACACATCTTTTGTCTTGCCCATTCACCCTCTGAATGGCACACATACAGTGGGGAGAACAAGTATTTGATACACTGCCGATTTTGCAGGTTTTCCTACTTACAAAGCATGTAGAGGTCTGTCATTTTTATCATAGGTACACTTCAACTGTGAGAGACGGAATCTAAAACAAAAATCTAGAAAATCACATTGTATGATTTTTAAGTAATTAATTTGCATTTTATTGCATGACATAAGTATTTGATACATCAGAAAAGCATAACTTAATATTTGGTACAGAAACCTTTGTTTGCAATTACAGAGATCATACGTTTCCTGTAGGTCTTGACCAGGTTTGCACACACTGCAGCAGGGATTTTGGCCCACTCCTCCATACCTTCTCCAGATCCTTCAGGTTTCGGGGCTGTCGCTGGTTCAATACGGACTTTCAGCTCCCTCCAAAGATTTTCTATTGGGTTCAGGTCTGGAGACTGGCTAGGCCACTCCAGGACCTTGAGATGCTTCTTATGGAGCCACTCCTTAGTTGCCCTGGCTGTGTGTTTTGGGTCGTTGTCATGCTGGAAGACCCAGCCACGACACATCTTCAATGCTCTTACTGAGGGAAAGAGGTTGTTGGCCAAGATCTCGCGATACATGGCCCCATCCATCCTCCCCTCAATACGGTGCAGTCGTCCTGTCCCCTTTGCAGAAAAGCATCCCCAAATAATTATGTTTCCACCTCCATGCTTCACGGTTGGGATGGTGTTCTTGGGGTTGTACTCATCCTTCTTCTTCCTCCAAACACGGCGAGTGGAGTTTAGACCAAAAAGCTCTATTTTTGTCTCATCAGACCACATGACCTCTCCCATTCCTCCTCTGGATCATCCAGATGGTCATTGGCAAACTTCAGACGGGCCTGGACATGCGCTGGCTTGAGCAGGGGGACCTTGCATGCGCTGCAGGATTTTAATCCATGACAGCGTAGTGTGTTACTAATGATTTTCTTTGAGACTGTGGTCCCAGCTCTCTTCAGGTCATTGACCAGGTCCTGCCGTGTAGTTCTGGGCTGATCCCTCACCTTCCTCATGATCATTGATGCCCCACGAGGTGAGCTCTTGCATGGAGCCCCAGACCGAGGGTGATTGACCGTCATCTTGAACTTCTTCCATTTTCTAATAATTGCGCCAACAGTTGTTGCCTTCTCACCAAGCTGCTTGCCTATTGTCCTGTAGCCCATCCCAGCCTTGTGCAGGTCTACACTTTTATCCCTGATGTCCTTACACATCTCTCTGGTCTTGGCCATTGTGGAGAGGTTGGAGTCTGTTTGATTGAGTGTGTGGACAGGTGTCTTTTATACAGGTAACGAGTTCAAACAGGTGCAGTTAATACAGGTAATGAGTGGAGAACAGGAGGGCTTCTTAAAGAAAAACGAACAGGTCTGTGAGAGCCGGAATTCTTACTGGTTGGTAGGTGATCAAATACTTATGTCATGCAATAAAATGCAAATGAATTACTTAAAAATCATACAATGTGATTTTCTAGATTTTTGTTTTAGATTCCGTCTCTCACAGTTGAAGTGTACCTATGATAAAAATTACAGACCTCTACATGCTTTGTAAGTAGGAAAACCTGCAAAATCGGTAGTGTATCAAATACTTGTTCTCCCCACTGTACATGTCTCAAGGCTTAAAAATCCTTCTTTAACCCGTCTCCTCCCCTTCACCGATTGAAGTGGATTTAACAAGTGACATCAATAAGGGATCATTGCTTTCACCTGGATTCACCTGGTCAGTCTGTCATGGAAAGAGTTCTTAATGTTTTGTACACCCAGTGTACACATTTATACATACACACCTCAAAGGAAATGAGGAAAAATACAAAGACGCAATCTAAGAAAACCTTGTAGCTCTTTGGGGTTGGATTTACCTAGTTCCTCCTTAGTGCTGTAGTCATATTTGTAGATTTTAAAATCATCTCCACCGGCAACAAAGAAGTCCTTGTCTGGGTGAAGTGAGGCAGAGTGAATGGAGGCAGGAGCGTCAACGGTTTTGATCAGGTCAAGGCTGGAAACATTGCATTTTTGTCATCAGCTCAGACAAGTTGTAGACAATCTCATACTCTCCATCTCCATCCACTGTACATTTTTAGACAATGGGTTTGATTAACAGCAGACATACTGTAATATGACTGCTCACAATACTGTTTTACTGTCTGTCCTTCACAATAGCCGATTCAACTAAATAGAAGCATTTTAGGGTTTAGTGCAATATAGTTTTTCTAAGGCTGATGGTTGTGTGCCATACCTGAGGGCGTTGTAGAAAGCGATGGTCTTGCCGTAAGTGACGACCAGAATTTCTCCCTCAGGCATGTACTCCATGCTGCTGACCGACGCCTCGAAGGACAGGCTCTTCACCACCTCCGTACTGCTCCTGTCCCAAAGCCTGGACACAGCACCACCATGACATCAAGCATCAACACCATTTATTGGTAAATACATTATCCCATACCTTACTATTATTGATCATTTTCCCCCCCCCCCCCATACAGTACTGTTATCAAATGCAAAGCTATACTTCTCACCGTATAGTTTTGTCATCTGCAGCAGATAACATTTGTTTATCATTGTTGCACCACAAAGCTTTCTTTATGGCACCACGGTGGCCTGCAATCTCTTGTGGCTCTGCAAAATGCACAGGTGGACACACATAATATTGAAATAAAATACACTCCACACAATCAGTTTACTGAGTAAAGCTACATTCATGAAAGCTACTCATAATAATAACAACTCACCTGCATCTGGCTTGCTCATGTCAAAAATGCGCAACATCTTATCATTTCCCCCCGTCAACAGGTGATTACTGTCCTAGGGATTTCAGAGAAACAGGAAAAGGATATCACAACTATGACTAAAGCTTCCACAGTCCACACTATGTTCAAACTCAAATAGTTTGTATCTTCTTACCAGTGTGAAGTTCACAGATTTGACAATGTGCTTGTGTGCCAGGGTGAGGACTTCATCTCCTGACACTGCATCCCACACTTTACTGATGGGGAAACAAATGCGTTTAACAGGGATGGTGATATTCAAAAGGTGCAAAATGTTAAGGTAATGTGCGCCATTAGTCTAATATAATGAGTGGTCAAACCCACGCTGTAAAATCTGCTGCTGCGGTTGCTGCCTTTGTGGCATCATTGTTCAGAGTGGCTCCCCAAACAGCTCCCTTGTGACCTAGGAACGTCCCAATCCAGTCCCCAGTGTCCCCTTGGCGCAACATGGGTTTGCCATCTACAGGGAGTAGAAGGCTGTAAAATGACTTACTAGCTAACTACATAACTCTGACAAGAATGAGCACTTATGTTGCTTAAATTGTAACTTCAGAAAAACGTACCTTTGCATGCACTTATCAGAAAATATCCATAGGGTGTTATTCCACTAAATGCCAAGTCCACAACTGGTCTAGTGTGTCCAGAGCAAGTGAGAGGGGTCTGTCTCATTGCCATGGCTGAGACAAAGAAATGGGCGACGTGGAGTAAAACGCTCAACGGATTTGATTACAATTATCTTCAATCTGAAACAAAACAAGCACAGTTTCGACATTATACTAGCTAGCTACTGGTCGTAACTAGTTAAATAGCTACAGCTGGTTTAGCTAGAATACTAGCTACCTGTTACACCTTTCATAGCTACATGCCATGGACCCACGCCTCCGCATCATTCAGAGGTGAAAGACAAGGACTGGTTGTGGTGGTTATACAACTCACCACTTTCTCGCTTTAATGTATCAGTCCACTGCCGGTTACACTGCAAACGTGCTCACCGCAGCTACTAACTGGCTAGCTTAGCAACTTTGAGAAAATCGGAAGTCAGGTCATGAGAGGAGCACATAGAGATAGACAGAGGACTCATCTTTGTATCTGTGCCATTGAGAGAGAAATCGTAACGCGTCTTTTGTAGGTAATAACTTTGCCATGGTTCGTTGGACAAAGCCTATAGCGAAAATGTTTTTGTAAAAAAGTTTTTATAAACACCGAAAATAAGTTATGTGGCAAACAAAGGCTTAGATCTTATACGTTTTGTTATATGAGATAATAAGCTAATGTCACTTTTTGTGAATTTTGAAAAAATTATTGTTATAAAAAAAGGCACATAAAGGCTTCATAATTCATTAAGGTTATGTTAACTGGCTGCTATTATCTTATAGAACAAAACAGGCTTAGGAGATCTTATATGTGTTAACCTCAGACCTCATTTTCAGGGTTTATCCCAAAACCCTATTCAAATCAAATGTTATTTGTCACATGTGCCGAATACAACAGGTGTAGACCTTACAGTGAAATGCTTACTTACAAGCCCTTAACCAACAATGTAGTTTTAAGAAAAATAAGTGTTAAGTAAAAAATAGATAAGTAAAAAATCAAGAAATAGCAAATAATTAAAGAGCAGCAGTAAAATAACAGTAGCGAGGCTATATACAGGGGGTACCGATACAGAGTCAATGTGCAGGGGGCACAGGTTAGTCGAGGTAATTGAGATAATATGTACATGTAGGTAGAGTTAAAGGGACTATGCATAGATAATGAACAGAGTGGCAGCAGCGTAAAAGACAGGGTGGGTGGGGGAGACAATGCAAATAGTCAGGGTAGCCATTTGATTAGCTGTTCAGGAGTCTTATGGCTTGGGGGTAGAAGCTGTTAAGAAGCCTTTTGGACCTAGACTTGGCACTCCAGTAGCAGAGAACAGTCTATGACGCCAGAGAAGATGGCTGCCGTTTTACAGCCCTCTAACCAATTGTACTATTATGTGTGTTTTTTTGCGTTATTTGTAATTTATTCTGTACAAAATGTTTCTGTCACCGTCTCTTATGACCAAAAAGAGCTTCTGAACATCAGGACAGCGATTACTCACCTCGTATTGGACAAAGAGTCGAAAGCAAAGGATATTCTACAGACACCCAAATCCCAGTCATTCACATGAGAAAGAGACAGAGATATCGTGGATGTAGGTCGGGGTGCCTTGTTAGACGGCAATATCGTGGACGTAGGTCTGGGTGCCTTGTAAGGATCCGACGGCGAGCGAGTAAACTGCCTCTTCCTTCAATCCTATTAGCCAATGTTCAATCATTTGAAAATAAATTGGACGACCTAAGATCAAGGTTATCATACCAACGGGACATTAAAAACTGTAATATCTTATGTTTCACAGAGTCGTGGCTGAACAACAACATGGACAACATACAGCTGGCGGGATATACGCTACATTGGCAGGATAGAACGGCTGACTCCGGTAAGACAAGGGGTGGCGGTCTGTGTATATTTGTAAACAACAGCTGGTGCATAAAATCTAATACTAAGGAAGTCTCGAGGTTTTGCTCGCCTGAGGTAGAGTATCTCATGATAAGCTGTAGACCACACTATTTACCAAGAGAGTTTTCATCTATATTTTTCGTAGCTGTCTATTTACCACCACAAACCGATGATGGCACTAAGATTGCACTCAATGACCTGTATAAGGCCATAAGTAAACAGGAAAATGCTCATCCAGAGGTAGCGCTCCTAGTGGCCAGGGACTTTAATGCAGGGAAACTTAAATCCGTTCCACCTAACTTCTACCAGCATGTTAAATGTGCAACCAGAGGAAAAAAAACTCTAGACCACCTTTACTCCACACACAGAGACGCGTACAAAGCCCTCCCTCGCCCTCCATTTGGCAAATCTGACCATAACTCTATCCTCCTGATTCCTGCTTATAAGCAAAAACTAAAGCAGGAAGCACCAGTGACTCGGTTAATAAGGAAGTGGTCAGATGACGCAGATGCTAAGCTACAGGACTGTTTTGCTATCACAGACTGGAATATGTTCCAGGATTCTTCCGATAGCATTGAGGAGTACACCACATCAGTCACTTGCTTCATCATTAAGTGTATCAATGACGTCGTTCCCACAGTGACCGTACGTACATACCCCAACCTGAAGCCATGGATTACACTCAACATGTATGTTGTCCATGCTGTCGTTCAGCCACGACTCGGTGAAACATAAGATATTACCGTTTTTAATGTCCCGTTGGTAGGATATTCGTGATCGTAGCATGTCTATTTTGTTATCCAATGATTGTACGTTGGCTAATAGGACTGATGGTAGAGTCAGATTACCCACTCGCCGTCAGATCCTTACAAGGCACCCCGACCTACGTCCCCGATATCTCTGTCTCTTTCTCCTGCGAATGACATGGATTTGGGCCTTGCCGGGTGTCTGAAGTAAATCCTTTGCGTCCGACTCGTTAAAGAAAAAATCTTCATCCAGTACGAAGTGAGTAATCGCTGTCCTGATATCCAGAAGCTCTTTTCGGTCATAAGAGATGGTGGCAGAAACATTATGTACAAAATAAGTTACAAATAACTCGAAAAAACACACACAATAGCAGAATTGGTTAGCAGCCCGTAAAACGGCAGCCATCTCCTCCGGCGCCAAGCCCCATTCATTTTTCCCGTAGGGATGGCTGAACGAACCAGAGGTAACTCATTTCCCGGTTTTAGGGTTAGAGCATCTGTGACAACATGGGCAGCACCATTGAGGTAATATCCATTTTGAAGTAGTCCATTTTCTTCTTCATGATTAGCTGATCCCTCCTAACGACCCAGTTGGACATCACTCCAACAGGGTCACCAGGAGGGATCAGCCAATGAAGTTGAAAGTCCCACCCAGTTGACTACATTAAAATAGTGGAACCCCTTTATGGTGCTCCCATGCTAATGGCCTTTTGGCCACTAGATGCCTCTATTATTCTCTATGGAGCATCAACGCTGATCTGGGAGAAACACATTTAAAGAGGACCTGCTCCTAAAAACCATTTGAGCTAGCTAAAAAAACAACTAATCCCTTTGAAAAAGGCCTACGTAGCATCAATATGAGTCAGAAACATGTATTCTAGTGTCAAAATTGACTACAAAGTATAAATAGGCTAATTTTGGTCATAAAGTCAGTCTTATCTAAAATGGAGTTTGGAACCTCAGTGCGTCCCAACGAGTAAATTAGGTTGGGTTTGGATTACAATTAGGACAACAAATCATGCCCCCTTTTGCCAAGCTCCACTTGCAAATCGCCCCTCTGCCCACTTCGCTTCCCTTCACAAATGGGGCTCCGTTGTTTCATCGCCCCCAACGCGTTCAAAGGATCACAGCAGTTTACTGAAAAGCCCTATATGGATTGACCAATGCTCCGGCTCCGGTTCGATAATGCATGCCAAAGTGTCAAATCGTTACAGCTCTGAAGTTCACAAGAATGTTATTCAATTCAAAATGTAGGCTAGAAATGTCAACTCTGTATGGCTAGCTTGAATGTCTGACTGAACTTTTATGAGACTGCTTTGAGCCACAGCTCGTTCTAGCTACTGTTAACAATCCAATCACATCATTAGCCAGCAACATACCACCTTTCATCCCACTGCTGGCTTGCTTTTGAAGCTAAGCAGGGTTGGTCCTGGTCTGTCCCTGGATGGGAGACCAGATGCTGCTAGAAGTGGTGTTGGAGGGCCACTCTTACCTCTGGTCTAAAAATAAATAAATATCCAAATTCCCCAGGGCAGTGATTAGGGACATTGCCCTATGTAAGGTGCTATCTTTTGGATGGGACATTGAAGGGGTGTCCTGACTCTCTGTGGTCACTAAAGATCCCATAGCACTTATCGTTAGAGTAGGAGTGTTAACCCCGGTGTCCTGGCTAAATTCCCAATCTGGCCACCTAATCATCCCCAGCTCCCAATTGGCTCATTCATCCCCCCTCCTTTCCCCTGTAACTGTTGCTGTAAATGAGAATGTGTTCTCAGTCAACTTACAATGTAAAATAAAAAAAATCACATCATTGTTTTCACAAGACAGTGTGGTGGTATGGAGAATCCTCAAGACCAAGTGAAGAATCTTTTGGTGTGTGCCACGCCATCTGTGCCAGATCGTTTAGTGTGCGCACCACTACGTTGGCAAGATACAAAAATTCAGGAAAGATGGTCGTACCTCTTAAATGTAATGGCAGAAATGTAGATTTCCGCCTAAATAGACATACCCAAAAGTAACTGCTTTTAATGATCAGTTATATGATAAGGACATGGTATCATTGGGGAAAAAACACCCAGGAAATTATAAGGAAATGGTCAGAACATAGATAGGAATGGCACAGTTCAGATCACACAATATCAAGCACACACACACACTAACCGTTTTTTACATTGATATTTTAAGTCATCTTTCATGGACAAACTATAAGTAAATTATTGATGAATAGAGCTGGAAACACATCACATGTCAAAAACTTCTGAGAAAAAATGGGATTGCTACACAACAGATTGATAGACACAACAGCTAGAACTTTACAGACGTTTTAGTAAGGGGTGTCAGCTGCGGTCAAGGGGCATTGCCAAGTGTCCCCTCAACCTCTCCAAAGTGTCCCAAGTATGTAAATGAGGTAATCCCACTGCTATTACACATTGAATATGCCTAAAAGTTATT